CTCAAACCATGCCGACTGAGAGGTTTTAGATGGTTCTAGGGGAAGCACATTTTCAGGTGAACATCTTGTTAGCAGCCTGAGGGATGCACGTTAAACACATCAATGGCTTCGAAGGTTTTCCTCTCGGCGGCTTTGGAACGACACTCATCCTACCCAGGGATTGGCTCGTGTTTGCAGCCAAGAATTTTCCATATTGCTTCGCCGTCTTGTCCAAAGCCTTAGTTGTTTTCTATTCTATAATATACTTTTGGATCTTTTGGTAACGGTTGCAGTGCAAACTTGCCCATTCATTATGAAACCAAGGGGCATCAAGTTCCCTCGCAGAATTGATTTGCGCTGGAAGTCTAGGATAAAGTCGCCGGAAGCACCGAGAAGACCCTTTGACCTAGAGCCGGGCTCGAAAGATATGTTTTCATGTTTTCCTGGGCCACTGGGGGGCCATGCGAAACATGACAGACAAAAACACAATATGCGCTTGAGAAGCCTTGAATTTCTTTGCCCATGTCCTGTGCTGAAGCTTCCATTTGGGAATCTTCTTCACCTTCTTTGACTTGTTTCGCCTAAGCTAGAAACTTCAGGAGTGAATCAGGACACCGACGTATGAGATACAGTAATTCCTTCCTTCGGGTCATCAGCTTATCAACAAACCAAGTAGCTTCAGCTTGCGTTGGCATCGGCGACGAATAACCTGTTGCACCCTCCAGTGATCTTCAGGCAGCAATAAGTCTTGCCTAAGTTCCCATAGAGGTGTGGATTAGGGGGGATTTCAAATCTCATGAATGACAAGTTCAAGAATGATGGTTGCTCCAAGGTACCAGTCAACTTTGCAGTTTTTTTTTCAAGAGCTGTTGCCATAGAAGATGCATATGTCTGGAAATCCCGCCGGGCAGCCTTCGTCATCAAATCAGTCCTAGCCATCAAAATCCAAACACGATCGCGAGTGATGGGAGCTCCATAGTTCTTCCTCGGATAAAACCAGATCACTGATTCCCAAAGTTTTTGAACCAATCATGTTCAAACCACTGCGGTAGAGCTACGGGTCCACCTCCAACACTGCAATTTGGTACCTGGGTGCAGTGGTGGCATGACCTTCCCAACCCAACCACTGTCTCTTGTCTTGTGATTCACGTTGCCAGGGCATTGTTTCACTTTACCAATCTATGATTGGCAAGCCACTCTGGAAGATTCTCTTGCAGGACCTCCAAGAGCTTGTCGAGGACACGGTAGAGTCCACGAACATTTTCAAGTAGCACTGCCTTAATACACATGTCCGGTTTCTTTATATGATTTGGTGGCACCCCAATTCTGAGTCAATCTAATGAACAAATCGGCTCAGGAAATCAGCACGCATCTAAAAGGTTGGACAAGCTACACCTGGACTGGCTTCTTTCACATTTCGAATGCATTGCCACATGGGTTTGGCAGCTTCTTCCTCGAGTAGACGGGTTCCCCAATGCAATAAGGAGTATGGAGTGCAAGGGAAGCCTGCGCAGTACAGGCCCACCTCAGGGCAGGGTGCCAAATATGAACTATGTGTTCCATCAAGACTAATGAAATAAGATCTATCAATCATCAGCAAGATGTTGCCTTGCCTTGCGGTGATTTTGAGAAGAGTCGACATCGAAAACATCAGTGCAGCACCTGAGTGCAAAATGATACTTAGTCAAAAACTACTCTGAGACTTGAAGCTGTGACTCCTCCAAAACTTAAGCAAGATACTGGATAGGGTCTCCATGGTTAAGACGAAGGAAGTCCATTGCGATCTTGTTCTTCTCGGAGCAGCTCCTGAGCAACACGGGTGGACACACCACACAATCCACACACTATATTCTGCATGTTTTGTGGACATATTGACTTATGTTTTGAGTTGAGTTTCATATGCTTCACCAGATGGTCTTTGTTCTTGAAAAGCTTCCGGAGAGCCATCAGCGGAGTGTCCATGCCCGAACCTTCTGCAAAAGTGGGGCTCGGAAAAGGTGCTCGGAGAAGAAACGGGTGGAGTAAAGTGGGCGCAGTGCAGCCAGGGTGCAGTCACTGGCATATCCAAAAGTGCCATTCCAGCGTCGAAGCCACTCATCAAAGCCTCAACTGTTCGATGCAAAGGATGTTGCACCAACTGTTCGATGACTGAAGACAGGAAACCAGCTGCTTTTGCAAATTCATCCTCGCAATGCACATATTGCTGCTGCAAAGGGGTCAGCTCCTGCCAATCAAGAGGATAACTAGTACTAGTGGGAATATCTATGATGTATCCGCTCCTCGTACTCATCATCAGATGATGAGTCCACCTCCCGCCAAACACCCATGGCTGCCACCGTTTTTGATCTTAAATGACAGCGGGCATTCACCTGCAGGCAGACTCAGATGGGTTTTGGATAAGACCCGGTTGCTGTCGCATTTGAATATATATATATATATCACTATTATATAATATATCATCTATTGATAGTTCTCCAAAGAATCACGAAACAATAAATCCTATCTCTCGGTTACCCGCACTTGGACTTAGAATGCAATCAAATCTCTTCAAATCCGTTCCATCCTTCCACAGAGGCCGGCACTAACGGCCGCGAAGAGTCTCGTGTCGAACGGCCAAAAACCAACGACCGCCTCGATCTCTTTTCAGGGACTCTGAGACGAACTCCAGGGCGGCCGCGTCGCTTTGCACGGCGGCCATGGCCACATCTCGGTCGCCACGCAGCAAAAAGCTGGCGAACTCCAGGCACCAACCATCTCGGCGTTTGGCGCAAAAAAATACTTTTGGCAGACCCAAAAGCAAGGCCTTTAGGGCCCCAAAACATGTCTTTTTGGCCTGGACAGTGGTTTGTTACTTACTTTTTGAAGCACATCATCTGAAGAAAAACATAAGAAAGTGTGAACCATAGACAACAAGCCAACCAGCCCGTGGTGCGAGAGATCAGATCTGGCAGGTCTTGGTTCTTTTGTTTCCACGACGCAAAGCGGTGTTTCAACGCGACATGGCGTTGCCAAAGCTCGGAAGCCACAGGAGGACACAAGCAATGTTCAATGAATGTGAACAAACATGTACAAGCTATAGACATACATATTGACACCAAAAAACTTAGGCACATGACGTAATTACAAATACAGAAACGCGAAAGGACACTTAGACTTAGACAGTAACATCTTGAATTTGCTTCGAGCAGCTTGCAGAGACAGCTGCCAGAACCAATTCCTTGTCACCTCGCAGTTCCTGATATCAACCATTGGCAAAACGGTAAGGGAACGGTTCGGAACGATGTTGTGCAAATTGCAATGAGAATCAAAACGAATTGAGTACCTTAATGCCAAATAAATAGGCCCTTGGGTGGTCTGCTTCACAAGTTCTTTGAAATGAACTAGTTTGTCCAAACAAAAAAAACACCGGACCCGAGCCTCTGACAAATCCTGTAGTGCCAACCAGCCGGATGCCAATCCTTCCACCATTCCAGGACGTGCTCCATCGAGGCCTTGAAAATCGAAGGAACGACCCAAACGAACACGACTCGTGCTCCACCGATTCCCATTGGCTGGGGGCGTTCCCCTCTTCCCATACCCAATGTAAATGGATGTAAATGGATGATAATGGATGCATGGGAGCACTTTACAACTCGATGGGAGCACTGAAAACCCTGGCAAAATTGGTAAATGGTCTTTTTTTACTCTGGAGATGGTAGCAAGTCGAGGAACGGAGGAGGCATATCTGCAGAATATCATCCTCATCCACGACCTATAGGAAGCTGGTCAAAATGACCCCACACAGTGAGGAGCATTGACAACTACAAAGAGTGAGCTAAAGAAATTGAATGTATATACAGCAATTGATTGGAGCCTCAGCTGCGATGTTGGCCAGTCGCAAACCATCGTGCAGCAGGAGTTGACCTGCCTGTTTCAGGCTTCAGCCGAAGATGCTGAAATGTCCCAGCCACGCTCGAACACAAACATCACAAGAAATACACCTGAATAACGTTTGGAATAAGAAGACTCACAAGGTATACCTGCGGGGTTGCTCCGTCTCTCACAAGCCCAATGCAGATTGAGGGGCTAGGCTAGGCTAGGCTAGGCTCAGCTAGGTAGGAGCAATGGAATGTGATGGGACGAGGGGATGGCTCCAAAAACAGTTGCGCAAATTGGCTCCAGAATCACCGCATTCCAGGCAAAAGAATCAGCGTCTGGTTCTAGCCATTAACATTCCAGGGACTGGTTCTAAGGGAACTGGTTCCAAATAAGAATCGCTTTGGCTTCGAGCTATTTGCCAAAACCTGGAGATCAAAATGGGTAGGCAGTGAGATCTGTCCAAAAGCGGAATTCAACCGTAGGAAGAGTGCCAGGTCTTCCCCTGGTCCGATCCAAAGGCACCGTCAAACGTTGCTCCTTGCGTGGCACTGCTAGCCGTGCTTGGATGGCCAATTTCAAATCCAGCGTAGTTGCTTCACCTGGGTAGAAAAAGAGCACGAAACATGCCGCTGAGCCAAGAAAGTAAAGATCAGCATGTCCAGAAATCCGCCTCTCTATACTACACACTCTACACTCACTTGTTCAATATAGTGCAATTCAACTCTGAGAGTCGCCACTTGCCGAGTCGCTTTCAAGCTGAAACGAATGCTCAGCGCCAGATAGCGTATGTACACAGACATTCATGTTGAATGGTAATTCAGGGTGGGAAAAGTTCTTGTTGCAAAGTTCTTGGCAAAACATACACAGAAAAGAAAGGAAGCAAATCTGGTCAAATTTGACAGAAAATTGCATGTGTGCAGTGCATATGTTTCACTTCCTCCTGAGGCAGGCTGGGCCAACAAGCGGAATTGATCCAAGAAGTGCCGTTCGTCTTTAAACTGATTGAAGACTACCGTATTCTTCCTTCCTGCTGAGCAGTGCGGCCAAAGGCCACTAGCACAATCAACTGTCAACAAAATTTGCTCAATTTCACAGCTGTTCACAGTTCAAAAAGGTGAAGTTGCCATGTCCAAAAACCGTGTAAAAATACCAGTGGCCCGAACCAAAAAGGGTGTGGTTGGCCGCCAACCCTGCAGCCATGAGAGCGCAGTCCTCCAACAACGGACGACTGCAGAAGAGATGAGACGCTGGGAGCCCAAGCCCATGCTGATTTGACCTCACGGCCCAGCAAAACCAAAAGAAACTGAAGTCCTCCGCACCAAAACCATTGTAGGATAAGTCCTGAGTACAAGAACGATATTGATTTTTGGCATGCGAATCAATGAGGAGAAGAACTGTCTGTTGGTTTCTCAAAGCCCTTAATATCGATGCTTTGTCCTTGCTTTGACTTCCCGGTACTTACACATAAACAATCCCTAAATAACAAACAGAACTCCACTCCAAAACCCTACTTGCGGATGAATTGGATTCTGAATCAAAATGCGGCTTGTGCTTCTTCTTTTGCGGTATCATCACAGTGTTCATCCAGCGACGATGTTCTTGCTTTTCTGGAGGAATGTGCCCTTACTTTGTGTTTACTGTACAAGCTGTTTTAGTCGTTCCTTTCCAAGACCCTACTAGAGGAAATGCTGTTCTTTTAGTCAAGCCTGGAAAGGGAAGTGGAAGACCCTTCGTTTTGGCCATTTGTACAATAGTTAGTTGAAAGGAGTTTTGTAATAGAGTCCAGACAGAATCCAACCAATTAATCACTGGATCGGAGCATCCTCCATCCACGCCTTTTCTCCCTACCGTTAAAAACAGAAAAAACACAACTAGTTTCCTTATTTGGGATGGTGCATGTTTCTCTATTGGGACAGTCGTGGCTCTAGAGTGTTCAATGCTGTTTGACGTCAGAAAGGCCGAAGACTGATCCAACTGAGACGCCAAGTGGAACAATGTCGTGCAGTCTTCGAAAATGCTGGACAGCAACTTCGCAGAGCCTGGCGGCGAATGGAGGTCTGAGCGGACGAATACGACATGCTTTCGGCGGCAATGCGTCAGCTTTGCGTGTGGCTTGGCCCGAATTGGATGCGCTGCCAAGGCCTCGAATCACGAAAAACCACACGCCCTGTGACTTCAACAGCTTCAGCGTTCAATGAGAAACAATGAGTCTATGATAGTCTATGAGTTGGTTCCATTCGATTCCAAGTTCCAAGAAAACCGAACAACGGTGCATCTGGGTGTCCCATACGGTTCCAAGCAAGGCTAAGCCGCCGCAAGCCACCACTATGCCGGGCGTCCGCGGCCTTGTTGTTTTCGTAAACGCCTTCCAGAAGAGCCTGACAAGCCACATCTGCAGAAAGGAATGCCTCGTGGTTTTGAACATGAAGCATCAACCGTGAAAGGACAAGGGGCAAATATAGAAAAAGTCTGCATGATCCGATCCAATCGCAAGTGACCAAGTGGAGTGGCTGTTGGGATATGGGTATATATGTGGTTTTCTAGATTGTTTTGAGTGTATGAATCAATTCAGTTACATAAATTATCTTTCTAGTCACCAAGGGTCACCAGTCACCAAGGGTCACCAGTCACCAAGGGTCACCCAAAAATGTCGGGTGTTTTCGTTCGTCACCTCCGCTGCTTCACCATGAAGCGCATTCCAAGCCAGGTCCAGAACCTTCAAATTGGATGACTGCGCCTCAGTTCGGACACTGGACTCCACTAGAGCCTCCACTCCGCCGTGATGACGCAAATAGAATCTGAAGGTCATTCCTGAAAGAATATCATCACCTGCCTCCGCCATTTAGAGAAATACCTAGGAATATACCCACGAATAACCAGATACTGTACCTGTGTCCGAACCCGCGCCATGGCTGGCAGTGGTCGTTTTGAGTTTCCAGGCAACAAAGTGCCCCAGAGCAGACCCTGCCGCAGCTGTAGTAGACTGAGAGCCAAGGCGACACCTGAGAAAACACAATGTTGTGGATTCGTCCACTACCTGTAGAAAATTGCTAAAAAATACCAAGCATGTCTTCAAGTGTCTGTCTTGTTTTCTCCCTTTCTGCAAGGCCCTGCCTTGCAAGGCCAAGACCTTGCAGTGCAGGACAACCTGTTAGGCAGTGAAGCGCCATTGCACAAAAAATATATGTTCAACATCATTCAACTTTGAAAACTGCGTGAAACCTTCTGAAACCAAGAGGACGCTACTAGTAACAAAGGGCATCGCTACTAGGAACAAGGATGCTACTAGGGGCTCCTGGCCTTACTAACTAGAAGCAGGGACGCAACTACGAGGAAAGACAAGAGACGGAGCTACTAGACGCGCCCTTGATATTGGCCGACACAAATCGCCCGAAACAACGACGGAGAAGACCGAAACAGCTCGTCGGCTCTGCCTTGTGAGAGCGCCTTACAAAGGTCAGCTGTGAGGCTGTCACCGAGGCTGTTGCAGCTCAAATCCAACCTCGGTGGCGTCGTTTTTTTTACGCTTCGTACTTCGGCTGCTTGCCGTTTGGAAACATAAAACATCATAAAACATAATTCCTCACCCAGAGGCTCTGTGAGGTTTTCCAACGTCCAAAGGCTCTCGCAAAGTGTTTTGCCCTGGCAAAAACACAGGGGCTGATGAGAGCATCTGTGTCTGAGAACATTGAGGCGGTTAACGCAAAAAACGAGTTGCCTCCTTTTTGCTACAGCACCCCAGCTTCACTTATCGAAACAAAGCGGGCCCTCTGCGGACGTCTCCGCGATTCATCATTTTTTGCGTCTTCGGATGCTCTGTGGCTTCGTCGTTTGTTTGCCTTTCATGGATATGGTGGATGCAAAGGATGCAAGTGCATCATGGGCTGGGAAATTGGGTTGGTTGGGGTGTGTGTGCGTGTGCGTGTGTGGTCCATGTTATGATCGATGTAAGAGATAGAATAACAAATGGCAAGTTGCAGGCATTGTTGAACATAGGTTGAACCCCCTTGAAAACGTAACGTTTCAAGGGGGTCAAAAAATAGACAGCAATTATAGAGTATATAATATATATACAATAAATGATTGCAGCACATACAATACGATAGAATAGAACACAATTCAATCGAATACTACCACTACAATGCAGTGGATGAACAAAAGAAATATCAAATACTGTAGCAAAATTGCAGGCATTGTTGAAAATGTGGGACCCCCTTATACTATCAAAAGTGTACAACTTGCAAGGGGTCGAAAAACATAGTAATAATCTGGTGCGTTTCATTGGATTAGAACATGTCTTCCTCGTGCTGTCTCTTAAAAAACAACTGGCGGGGGGGGGGCGGTTGTCGTTGCGAAGCGACCTGAATATAGATCCTTTGCAGTGTTTCATATATGCATGGTGTGGCCTTGTTGTTCTGTACTGCAGCGACACAAACAAAATCTGCCAAGTACATCGTGGTAGAATCTATAGCAACAATGTGAGGTGGGGCATGAAGTACGTAGCATATGTTTGTTCATATTTTGTCTTCTGCGCAATTGAGCATGCGAGCTTCTCTGCTTTGTCACTTGGGAGTTTCCAACATCTTCAATTGGTGAGGAAATAGACTGAAATGGAATGTAGAGTTACATGGAAAGGATGCGTTGACTCATGTTAATCTTGAAGTCCAACACCTTGAAATGGATCACTTCGCAAAGTCATATTTGTGACGCTCACACTGTCTGCGCGTGTCTGCACGGCTTCCCAAGTGCAAAGAACTGGCCCGTCAAATGGTAGCCAGTCGGCGAGACTCATCCACTCTTAGTCTGACGGTTACGCATTGTCTCACGGTCTAACGGCGTCGTCTCCCGTCCTCCAATCCCAATTGGTTTGATGTGAGTGTCCTGAATCGGCGACGAAGGCGTCGGCAGAAGGCAGAAAGAGACACTGGGAAACGGCCCCCCTGAGGCGTCTGCACTTGCAGGATCTGGGGTTGTGTTGGATGAGGGAAACATCCCAAAAAACCTCCTGAAGGAGGAGAATAGACCAAAACCCCCTTTGGTTGCGAGGTCCACTAATAGAGTATAAAACCCATCTGCTGCCATGGCTCAAGGTCTTCAAGGTCTGCACTGGGCCCTCCACTGAGACCAACGCCTCCACAGAGAGACGCGTGTAGAAAAAAAGACATAACGAAACCCGTCGTCCCGTCGTACCATTCTTAAACATGAGTCGCGCTATAGTCACGCTATACTATAGACTCAGACTTGACCATAGTAGGCTATTTGGGCTAGATTCCTCAGAACTTGACAAACTTGGATGGACCACCTTCAAGCCACGCTCTGTCAGCAAGTTGCCCCCCAAGTGAATGTGCTTCACGCCTGGCACCACGTTTGCGGAAGCTGATTCGGGGCCACGCTGGGGAAGCACAGGCAACCAAACCAACCAGGCAAAGGATTTTGGCAGCTCTGACGTTTTGGCAGTTCTGTATCCAAGAAAAATCCCGCAATGTCCAGGCAATCTGTGCGACAATAATCGGGGTCGCAGAATGCAAAAACGTTGCCCTGCGCACCAACCAGCCCGGTTGGAACGTCCGCATGCCTCAGCATTTAGAATGCTCGACTCCGCTCGACTGACGCTCTACCCGAGCTCAAGGCTTCTTCCCCAGCCCTCAGGAGCTGAGACAACAGCGGCAAACCTAACACGCCCTGGTCACATCGGTCACAGCACATGTACAGTAATTAGCGACGTGGATATTGCGTCACACATTGTCGCTGGTGGTTTGTCACGCCGATTCTGGGCCGGCATGCCGTCGTGCGCTTCCAGCAATGCTTCCAGGTAGTCGTCGGTGAGGCCCCAATCTGATGCGTTAGGTAAGGTGTGGTTTTAAGCTTTTGGAAGGTGTAAAAAAACCAATCAAAACCCACAGGGATCGCCTTTTCAGCCTTTCTGCTACTTTGTATGTAAGAATATGCCGGTGTTACTCTCGAAGGACAGGTAGCCTCCTGCACTTCCTGCATGGCCAAAGCGGAATGGATGAATCTTGGAGCTGCACAGCTGAAAACTCTAGTTTCAAGTGCAACTACACTGCCCGAGGGCGTCCTGAAACTGTCAATGTGTTCAGCGCAGAAAGTGTTTTCTGCGCACCTGGGGCAAAGTGAGAGAGGAACTGAAGAACCTGTGGCTGAAGGCGACTGCAGTTCAAGATGCTCCAAAAATATCCAATCCAAAGACTTTCCAGTGTCATGCAGTGCTTCAATCACCAAGCCCAAGGTTTGGTTCCAGTGTTCGCGGCCACACTCCACTTAGGTGTGAATTCACACGAACACACACAAGATGTCAATAGTCTGTCTCGGTCAGTCTGTCTCGGTCGGTCTGTCTCAATCTGTCTGTCTCTTTCAGGCAGGACACGAACACACCCACGATGTTCATAATGCAGCGTCGCCCGGGCTGCATAGCCGGCATCGCGAATGTTTACTTCTGAAGCCCTACACTTTTATCAATCTTCAAAAAACATTAAAAAGAATTAACAAGATAAAAATATCAACAACACACCATTTCCCAAAAATGAAAGGGGGCCCCCCAAGCTAAAGCTTATTAAGCGGGCCTCAGCACCTTAGGTGCGGGCGGATTTTTAATAGGGAGATCCCCTGGCCGTGGCTGAGTAGACTGGTCTATGTCGCCTCCGAATTCTTGAAGGGGGTCATTGCCAGGAGGGTCGGTCTCCCTATGTGAGACAAACCAAGGCGTCTTTCCGGTCCCGCTTCGGGGTGAGACCCCGAGCGTAAGGACTTCTTCGTCGACCTTTTGGACATCAGCCGCGCACGCTCCTGACAGCGGATGAGGCAGAGCGGTGAAGCAGAGCGGCTTCTTAGAAGGCGCTATCCAACCGTGCGCCATGAACTCGAATGTATTAAGGCAAATCAAGAAAGATCATAAAGTCCATCATATGGAGTAAACACTGTGTGTGTGTTTCTTTAATGCCATATTCTTATTCCAGCTCTTCATAAACTGGACACGTATCTTGCACCCAATTCTCACCGAAACAAACTGAAAGGTTGTCGTCTGCCGTGCGCTCGCATGCTTTCGACGTGGGCCTGGCCTGCTCCATCATCTCCTGCCGTACTGCACTGGTGTTCGCCCTGGACCAGTGAAGGAGACACAGTGAAGGGCTTTCATGGTCAGATCTCCACCAAGTCAAACTGACTGATTTCTTGAAGACATATCAGGAAACTGTTATAGACCGACCCTTGAAATACAGCACATTGAAATACCAACATAATCAGTTTTGCCTGATATATAGACAACTTATTCCAAACCAAGAAAACCGAAAACGCTGAAAAAGAACATGAAAGCTGGCCCAGACGGCAGGCAGCTGATTGGAGCAACCCTGGACAACCTGATCGCCGTGGCAAAAACCGTCCAAAAACCGTCCATGCAATACAGTTTCGCAAAACTTCCTGCGACCCCGGCCACTTTCTGTCCACGGAAGCTTGTGAAGAAGCCGGCACAGAAGGGGCCCACGTTCTCAGATGGATGAAGTAGGATCAAATGATTGGGGAAAGTATTGCAATGTGCACTCCAGATTCCTTCTTTTTCCTGGCCTATCCTCTGCAATCTGCTTGATATAGAAAAAACATATGATGTCTTACTACTATATGCAAATTCTAGAAAATGACAAACACAGACATGGGATCCATCATGGGTCTTCCCTTCTGTCACCGCTGAATCTTGCTGGACCGCCCCACGAGGCCATGGAGGAGTTCTGCTTGGAGGAGGCCTCGGAATGCTCAGCTCAGCTCAGCGACACCACTGCATTGGACGTCGCACCGAGCTTCACACCGAGAGGGCCGAACTGAATAAGCTCGTGGTGGATTGCTCCATCGGACTCAGCAGGCACAGATGCCCACCAGTAAACTGGTGGTGCAGAACAGACAGGCATGCTCATGCTCATGGCAGGCTGAAGGCATTTCTTTGGGGAAAAAAACAAGAAAAAGAAGGGATTGTTCAAGGTCTGTTCAGAATCTGTTCTTCTATTATCTTCTATTCATCAACCAGCATGCATTGAAGACTGGAGTCAAAATGAGTCAAAATGAGTCAAAGTGAGTCAAAATGAGTCAAAATGCCCATGTTCATCGCTCTTTCGGACCTCTGAGGCCTCGGACTTTGGACCTCGAGGCGCATCCATCGCACTCACGTGAAAGGTGGACGTGGTGCCGATGGAGACCTCGGTCCACGGGTGGCCCGGGCACCGATCGATGTCTGGAATGCACTCAGTGCATGTTCGGGGGGGGATTCAAACAGGGGCAAACACTTGAAGGATGGCCAAACCCACGGCCAACTCAACGAGAAATTCACAACTCCATTTGCTTAACCCAATGAATCAGTCACCTTTTCAAACACGTATTCATCGTGCGCTGCTTATATGTGCGCTGCTTATATTAGACCCATTCCTGAAGTGCGTCCTCTTGCTAGGCTCAGTGCGTTGGATGTTGACATCCTTTACGTCCAAAAACTAACACGGTTTGCTCTGGAAAAGCTTTGGCCGTGGCTGGTGACACGGCATTTTGTCTTCGCAGGATGGTAGGCCGAGGACTGGGGCCCAGCCGCCGATGGCCTCGAAGCCATCACGCGAAAACCGAAAAGCTTAATTACCACCATCTATGTTGGTTTATTGATGTTTATTGTATCTGTCTCTTTTTTTCTTGTCCAAGACTTGCCCGAAAACTCAGAAGCTTCTTGGTAGTGTTGACAACTGTTCTTCTTGTGCGCGTTCTTGGTCTCCCAACGCAGTGCACGCTGGCTAGAGAACGCTGAAAGAGCTGAGCGGCAAAAAGAACTTGGAGAGAACACTCGAGTTCGCTTTTTGCAAGGCCAAAAATAAAACTGACCAACAACATGGCTTCTCACATTGACTGGTGTCAAAAGGCCTCGGAAAGAAGCTCAAGCGCAAGAGAGATCAAGAGAGGAGAAATGCGATACTAACTGTTGTGCAAGAAACTTGAAGACGAAGAAAGACACGTGGCAGGCAAAAGATCGTGTCGGCCTGAACTCTGCATGGTCCACGTGGATCGAGAATCAACTCCTCGCTCCTGAAAGGTCTCGACCAAGCACAACCCGACACCGGACGATCCATGGGACCTCTTCTTCCTCATCCGAGTCGATGTCACGCCGTCTTTGGCCTGGTGAACTCGTTGGACGGCTGAAGCCAACGTGTTGACGCCAGTGCTGCGAACTGCTTTTAGATTGCTTTGCAACAGCCAAAGTCAGAGAGCCTACTGCCAGTGCTGCGTTCCGCCGATTGAGCTCCTGGGTAGCTCTGGGATTAGAACTCCCAGCAGTAAAGGAGTAGTCCCTAGCAGTGTAAGAATAGCTCTCCTCATCATAAGCAGCTTTCTCTGCCAGGCGAGGAAAGCGCCTAAGAGATGAATCTGAACAAAGGCAACTTCGATTCGAGTTGCATCCGGGGCCCATGCAATCTTGAATGCCTCCTGCGCCATTCTGCAAAGGTCTGCTGGTTGTCCTTCTGCTCAATCACCTGAAAAACATTCCAAGACGTGAACGAAGTTTTTTGAACTTCCAAAGCCGAACTCTTTAGCCCGGCACGCCCTCACTCTTACTTAATCAAGTAATTAGAAACTAACTACTCAATTAAGTAAGGGCGAGGGCCGCGGCCGCTAGCCACCAAGAGCCGCTAATAGCCGCTATTCATTTGGTTGGTAGATTCATGTCTTTAAACAAAAAAACACAAAATGGATTCTCGACCTTCTCCTCGCTTTGCTCCCGAGAGGTGTGCGAAGATGGCCTGAACAAAACTTCTAAGACCTGCCTTGATGAAATGAAGCCACCCGGCTATAAAACCCATGTATCACCACTAATGACACCAGTGTCCAAGAAATGGGCTGGGATTGCAGCCAAAAGAACAAAACAATACAACACCATCAAACACCGAGCAAAGTCCTCTTCTGTTCGGTTTCCAAAAGCTTTTGGAACGGCAGGTTTGAAAGGCCTGGAACGAGGAGCTGACCGATGATCTGACCGATGATCTGACCGATGATCAACCTGGAACAGGTGCCTGAAAGGGACAACGCTGACAGGCCGGGGATTTTGGAGCTGAAAAACCGTCCGTCTGCGTTTTGCGGTGTCGTTTTGCTCTGCATCTGCACCTGACATGTCCAAGAGCACCCGACTCTTTATCCTTTTCCATTTCCTCATGGTCCGAATGCTCAGAGTCAGCACTGAATCTGCGCTCAGGCAAGACATAATGTGGTAGCTGCGGATAAGAATGCTTGTACGGACGCATCTTTTTTTTGGCTCTATTTAGTCTTGCTGAAGGTCAGCAGAAAGTTGTTCCTTGGCTGTGTATGCGAAGCATCTTTCTGATGACAAGCCAATTGAACAGGTTCATGCATCCAAAGTTCCCGCTTTTAAGCTGTTGCAAGACTTCAAGACTTGCATGTCGCTGCATGTCAATGTGCATCGCCAAGCTTCGCTGGCATTTCTCGTTTGCCTTCAAATTGCAAGCCATTCTTCTTGGCTTCTGCGCAAATTTCGTCGATGTCTCGGTATCCCCATTCCGGGTTCCGTGACCTGCGGGGAGCGTTTTTGGCGCGCAACGTTTTCGCAGCGCCCATCCACACCGATGTTTTCTGGGTGTTTGCAGGAAGCAAACAGGAAGCAAAAGGCTCCAGGAGGGAAAGAAGGGCTCATGAAATATGAAACAATTGTTTCCCATGTCCAGCTGGCACAAGTCTTCCCAAATCAGTAGAATCATGTAGAATCGCACTCTGTCTTGGAATCTTCTCAAACACTCTGCAGAAACCAGGCCTCAGCGATTTGTCAAAGTCTGCATTGCTCTCAGTCGTAAACTCTCCATTGACCTGGACGGAACAGTCTAAACAAAGCAGAATCTCTCCAAGCAATGGAGCAATGCTTCGACATCCCCGATGCTATCGGAAAGTCAGGTCAGCACACCTGATTTCATAGTGAAATGGGTCAAATATAATGACTTTCACAAACCAAAGGTCGTACAAGTCATTTAGCTAATAGTCAAAGGTCTTACAAACCAACGGTCTAGCTTGAACTAAATGAGTATATAATACAAAATGACAAAAACGTGGTCGACCACCCTCATTTTAGGATGTCGGTGGGAAGGAGATGGTACGACATATCAATTCCCAGCATCTGTTCTAGAGACCGAAGGCTCAATATTGCAAAAGTCTTCAAAGAAACAAAGAATCCAAAGAACTCAGAACTTTGCACCTTGAACGGGCCGTAGATGATCAGAAGCCCACCATTCTCAAGCGCCTCACTGGCCCCTGCAACGATGCCACAGGTGACCTGCCATATCTTCGAGACAAAGCGATTGCCACAGCGATTAACCAACTGCCACGGGTTCAAACAAGAGAAGAAGGCCTTCCCAGAAATGAGAGGGGTGTTTTCTCAGGGAGGGGAACCAAGAAAACAAGGAAGCAAGCAAGAAAGGAAAAGAATGGTCTAAACGTCTGAGGTCTAAACAAAGAAACGTGTACTATCTAGTCTTATATAGTAGTCATGGGTAGTCGAGTCCAAGACCAAATTCTAGCCTTTTTCAGTCGCAAGTGCATGCGAATGTCCAAGCAAATCCTCAGTCGTAGATGTCTCCAACTTTCAGCTGCGCCTTCCAAGGAGAAATATGAGTAATGTTCGAAAGGTAAACGGCAGTGAACCTCAGGACAAAGGCTCAAGAACACAGGTATGGACAGAGACAGAGTCAGTCCAAAAGGTCACTCACTCAACATAGCTGAAATCAACCAAGCAGCTGCCCTTCGAACTCTCTCACCTGTGAAGGCCAATCTGCCCAAGCAGCACTTGCATCCAATGCTACTGCACGTCGGACATTGGGTATGGAGGATGTCACCTCATCTATATCCTGGCATGTTCAAGCGCCAGCTCTATGGCCATCTCATCTCTCATGCTCAGTCTCTTGCTTCTTTGCTTCAGGTTTGCGTTCTGCAAGCTCCTTCAACACGGAGGTGTTGCCCTCCTGCACGTATTCACTGGGTTGCCATTGTAGCTTCCTGAATGATGCTGCAACAAACAAACAAAACACACAGCCAGCCGGCCAGCCAGCCAGCCAGCCAGCCAAACAGACAGACAGACACATAGAAGGACAAACAAATAGACAGACAAATAACAATAAGTCAAACAAACAAAAAAACAATCAAACAAACAATGATCAAACAACCGAACAAACTAAGCAACCAACTGTATCACATTATGTATCTAGCTCCTCAATGTGAATAACCAATCTGAATCCGATTTGCATTACCCTTGGTGCTGAGCGACGGGAAGTTTGGAGCAAAATGCTCTGCGTGGCAGCCACTGCCAGACCCTATCTCCAGAACGTGGCCTTGACCACAGAAAAGCCAAATGCGTGCTTGACAGAGAGTGCATTTTGATGGGTAGTGTGCACGTTATGCGAAAGCCTAAAGCTGATTGCTGCAATTCCACAGGTGAACCAGTGAGTTTTGGGCCTTCTTTGGCAGATTTGTCGGCCAAAACGTCCTGCAACACCTCCAAGATTGGCCCCCGATTCCGCAAGGCTGATGGATGATGCCGCGCATCATTGGCCATGAGCCGTGTCAAGCTGCGACACACGTGCCACGCACGCGCTCGGCCCGCTCGGCTGAAGGCGTGGAAGGCCCAGCCGCAAGCAACGAGCCACTTTGGAAGGACCCACCTGGAAGTCGGCCTGCAATCGGTTTGGATGTCTCTTCTTTGTTTCTGACTGACTTATTACAATCTCCAGTCTTCACAAGCCTTGCACCAAGGGTCTTCCGGATTTGGGTCCACAAATGTCCCGACCCGGGCGAGAGGAGCACTGGACAAAGGCTTCGTAAGTACTGTTTCATATATATGAGAGGCTGAGCCTCTAAAGGGCCTATACCGTTGGTACACTGTTCATCATAGAGGTTTTTGACGTTGCTCATGTATTACTAATTCTTGTTTCTACTAGCTTCTTGTTCTAGTAGTAAGGCCCTTGTTACTAGTAGCGATGCATTTGTTACTACTTGCATCATGTGTTCGTTCACGTGGATCTCTACTTCCCACCTCGCTTGCAGTCTCGGTGGAGGATTAGAAGGGCGAGAAGAGCTGAATGGCTGCACACGGAGGCGGACTGAACCCTTCGCAAAGTCCATTTATATATATATATATGGAAGCTTGAGCCAGAAATTCCCCAAAGTGATGCTCAACTTGCTCAAAAACTAGATCCTTCTCTGCATCCAACTAGAAAAGAATCTGCAGCAGCTGCAGAAGACACGAATCGAACGTCTCTCGTCTGTCCTCTTTGGTCTTTTGTCGCCCTAGGTTTCCACCGGTGCCGCATGGAGGGAATGTGACGCTTTGGCAAAGAATAGTATTTAGAAAGCGTCCTTGCAAGTGGTGGTGGATGTGTGGTGTTCAGGCACGTCCAAATACAGTAAGGGCTTGTATTATGTAAAGTGTACTAAGTTACGAGTACTAAGGGATTGTAGAAATGCCAGGTTTGAAACTCTTTGATGCGTGTGCTATGCCATCAACGCCAAGGAAGCAAACTTAAACAGCATTGTTTTCCCAATCAAGCAGGGGCAGCAGGGTTGTCTTCTCTCGACTTGCACGATGTTTGCTAGGAAATCCCGCACAGCGCAGTGTGGCCAGGCAAGACTCCAAAGGCCTAGGGCAGAAGGGTTGCAAACTTTCATGCACGTCCTTTTTGTGTTGAAATCAGTACTGTCTCAGAATCCCTTTGTTGATGTTTCTTAAGTTCTCTGCCGATACCTCTCCTTTCACTGCACGCCTCACAATGCCAGTAGCGAAACAATGACAAATCGAGTCAAAAAGAAAGCCTTTCATTTGATTTGTGGCCTCCTCGCATTGTCACTGCGAGCGTAATGACTGAGCACCCGCGGCAATGACCTGAGGAATTTTCTGATAGCGATGGCCTCCAACCGAAGAGCGATGGCCTCCAACCTACTAGCGATTTCTTAGAACAAATCCAAGCGTCAACGAGGATGTCCTTCCGTTTTGGACCTTTTGAATCAGACCTTTCTTTGCCCCTTCTGAAGAAAGCAGAAAAGCCCCGAGCGTCTTCAGTTGGTGCCGCAGCTTTGGCCTTGAAACCAAGAACACCACTACCACTACCACTACCACTACCACCAAATACAAAGCTGTGCCAGCTGTGTTAAGCTCTCAGGTGTCAACACCCTCAGTTGTCGCCAGGCGGGCTTGGGCCTTACCATCACGAAGAAATGAGGATCGGCTTTTGGCGGAAAACCAAGGCTTCTGGCGGAGGCTCTTTGGCTGAATCCATTTGACCTGCGAATCAAATCACATGAACCAGTGTTGGCTTTAGCCTGCGGTTGTCAACCGAACCATTCAAGAAACGGTGATGCCACCTGCGATCCAGCCGCCAGCCATGTCCACGAACGCCGAGGTACAAGGCGATTTCGTACATCTGAAGTATAGACACCTAAAAGGACCTAAAACAAGAACCTCTAGAAAACTTCTTTTCATGTCCCTGATCTAAGCTGGCTCTAGCTGAAAGCTATTTGGCTCTAGTAGCTGTATTATGAATCTCCTAACTGCAAGCTGAGTCTCCAGGTGTAGCCAACCCTCCTTCCAAACTCAATAGAACGGCATTTGATCACACATACTGGGCGGCAAACAAACAGGATTGGATGTGAAAGAACGAAAACTGTTCGATGCGGTGGCATGTTTCATTCTGTCAATGCCGCCCACTAAGGTCGCACTTTTGCTCCCTGCAGTATTCGGATTGTACGTTTCTGAGATTCGTGCTTGCACCATGACAACCATCGGTAGCAACATCAATCAAGTGTCTTTGTATGAAGAGATGTTACAAGACAGTTGTTTTGAGTAATTCGCATCATAAACCCTCCAAGAGGCATACGCTTGAGTGCCGGCGCTGTCCAGCCTTGTGCTGAGCGTGAAACCTAGCTAAAGTACGTGGCAAACTTCCTCCAATGTCCTCATCTTTGGAGGGATACAACTTGGCTGACCGCCACGCTGTGCAAGCATTACTCACTTCGATTTCAATCGGCATCGTCCTCCTGTCCAAATCTGCTTGGCTTTGCGAGCTCAAGTATTCTCGGGTCATCCCTTTCGTTGCCCGCCCATCTGAGCGGGTGTCTCAAGCATCACGTGACCAAGCCTCATCCCCATGTCTTACAGCAAATCCATTTCTTATAGTGTTCCACAGGCAGTGTGTTCGCAAACGAAACAAACATCCACCAAACTATGCTGACATCCTCTACTGGTATGTCTATAGTGTGAACGAAATGTATACTTGTTAAAACTGTGATTTCCAGATCTTCTTGACATGTCTGCTCCTTCTCCTTGTCTTGTTGCCTCGAAGCTGAGAGCTTGTTGAGGCCATAAAACATTGGCTGAGTCACTGCCATCTGATTGGAATGAACATAGACATAGACATGATTCATTGGAACAAGCTGAGTGTGTGACTTTGCCCGCCTTTCCCGCAGCTTCTCTTTGAACAACTCTTCCTTTGATGCTGACTGTTCTCTTGCCGTTCAAGAACTACAGTATGCCAAATCTGAAGACACCTCGTGTCAACGTCTCCCGTCGTGACGACGTCTCCGTTCATCCAAGTGGCATCGAAGTCATCCATCTCCGGACCCGGAGACCCGGAGGATTGGCCCGAGACCTCGAACAACGGAGTCGGATGGACAGCGCTGGAAACGCGCACGACACGGACAGCGCGGAAACGCGCTGGTCGCCTTCTTGATGTTCCAGAAGATCACTCCAACCAAAGCAATGCCGAAGACTCCCACTTTTGGGAACCTGCCATGAAAAAGTTAGCAAAAGAGATGCTATTTCAGATGTTGTCCTATCTTTCGGGGATGCGCAGCTGAGTCCAACAAAACTCGTGCCACGTTTGCCAGTTGAGGAGGCTGGACATGTCCCAGCCATTTGAGCTGCTGCCTGGTGACAGCAATGTAGCTTTGTATTGGGCAGAGTCAACCGGGCAACAAGATCAGCGAATGCAGGCGCTCGGTGCTCCGGTAACACACACACAGTGCACAGGGAGCGAAACGAAAGCGAAGCTCGGTGTGAGGCGCTCGGAACAGACCTCTCATGCATCGAATTACTACTAGTAGCGATGCCCTTACTAAGTAGCTTCTTGTTACTAGCAGCGATGGCCTCCAACCTACTTGTGATGGCCTCCACCATCCTCCACCCAATAGCGTCCTTGTTACCATAACTCCGAATAACTACTCGTTACTGCTGGTACTGCTGGGTCTGGTAGCGAAGCTCGAAAACTGAGAACATGGCTGTCTGCTGCAGCTTTGGGCGGCGGCGGGGTCCTGCAGAAGAACAAACAACGGAATGTCTCCAAAGGTCCTCAAATGTCTAACATCTTCTTCAATCCCTGCCAAATCGCTGGGTCTTTAAAAAAGAATTGGTTTTAAAGAAGGAAAACCAACACATATTTGGCAGAAAAAAGGGTTGTACCACGCGCCTGAGAGTGAGATCGTAAAGCTCCACACCTTTCTCTTCTTTAAAACGGATCGCCACCTGCGACTTGGCCTTTTCACCTGCGACCGCGACCGGCGGTCTTCGTCGTTTGGAAGAAGAAAGACCGCCGTGTGGTGGTGAAGCGGCGTGTCTTCTTCGGTGAAGCCAGGAACTGCCACAGACGGCCAGTAGTACGAGTAACGCTGGCCTATCCGTACATCAGCCAGTAGTACGAGTCTTTCCCAAGAGTCTAAGACTCCAAGATGTGTCAGGAAACGTGATGCTGCACTGCTCCATTGACTTTAGTCCAAGTTGCCTGCACCTCCAGGTCCAGCAGCTGGCTGGCCCAGCATGGCCAGCGTTTCCGGCTGCTTGGGCTTGAAGGATGCCTGACACGTCGCAGGAAAAGGACACCCTTCGGTCCTGGTGAGGAAAGATTGATCCTCAGATCGATCTGAGTCGCATCTTTGGTACCAAAAAGCCGTCTGAGAGTCACCTTTTTAGGGCTTACAAATACGAGCTAATGATTCTAATAAAGTCCAAGGGCCTCAGCCAAACTTCACCAGAACTTTATCAAAAGGTGATCAGACTGAATGAACACCTGGAGAGTGATGGCTCTGGAGGGTGCTGAGCCATAGCCGTTCTCCATGGCAGCCTCAGTGCTGCAGCTGACCTACTCACACATCAATCTGTTCCAAATTGAGTTGATTACTTTAAAAGGAGACAAACGCAAGAACATGATCAAGGTCGTCAATGATGCTGCTCCATGCCAACCGCATGCCAACCCCATGCCAACTGCCAAACACCTCCAAAGTTTTTCAAAGGTCAATGCGCATCAGGAATTTCGGACTGGCGACCATATTGAAGAAAAAGATCTCTCGGACATACTCATCCTGCACCGCCAGAGGCAACATCTACACAATAAAGCTGCAAGATGCTGCCAGCAGTCCTTCAATGCTTTGGCAACCAGTGGGAAATTGATGAAAATGTGTCCAGCCACAATGAACAAAACCCCCCAAAACCGTCAGTTCCTTCTTCTCCATGTCTGGTAAAGGCGTTGCGAGTGCCATCACATGGCCTGGTCACACATTTGTCGTGTCATTTGTGTTCGTTTGGACAAGCGCGGCAGCTCTGGTCAGCACGGACATGGCCTCTAAAGCTGTGTAGGTTGAAGGGCAAGACGGATACATGAGGGAACTTGAGCGCCAGATCGCAGGCCTTCACCAGAGTGGAGCCAGTGGTGTTGACTGTCATGGGCGCTCCAAAAAAAGAAGGAGCACAAGTGTGAATCGCTCAAAGAATCAAAGAGTCCGGATCCATGCAAAACCTATCTCTCAAAATAACAACGCTGCTGTCATCCACAGTTCCCGCATTGGCTGCACAAAGCCGGTGTTTTCTTGAGCTGTGCTCTCGACCAGTCAGTTCACAAGTTCATAACCGCAAAGCGCAATGTAACTAGCCAAAGATCTGGATTGAATGGTTTAGCTATTTGATAGCCATAAGCAAATCAATAGCCATTCTTGGGCTGTTTCTTGCGCAATGAATGAATGGCCTTGCTCTTTCCACGCGTGGTCGCGTAGACCAAGACGTCGCCGTCTTGCAAAGCCAGGAGCACCCTCCCTGTCCTTGGCGTTTTGCGACGATATATTTGCCAACCAAACGGCCTCTCCTATGAACCATACCGAACGGTAATGTAGACTCTTGATGAAAACCTCTTCATATGGGGGTTATTAATCAAGAGTCTACAGTCTACATATGTCTACATTACATGAGGTACGTTTTCGGTACGTGAGGTACTAGTTGCACTCCCCGTCCGTGCCACCAGGTGACGAGTACCCGGGCTCCATGGCCAGGTCATAGAGCGGACTATTCCAGCCAGTACATGGTGGATACCTGCAGTGCAACTCCGGTGCAAGTGACGAGTCTGTGCCAATCAAAGTGGAAACTCCATGCGAAGCCATAGCTACGGGGCACTGGAGGTCCACTTGAGATGGCGAAAAGAAACCAAAGGCGTGACTGCTGTAGAAGAGCACTTGTTGTTGTCCCTGGCAAGGAAAGCCCATCTCTTCATGTCTTGAATCTCTTCTTTCGCATCTTTTCTTTCGGCCTGTGCCCGGATCAAGCCCTTGACACCTCCTGGGTCTTCAGTTACACGTACTCGACCTCTCATCGTGCCTGGCCGTGTGAATCAACAATCCAAGAAGTGGGAAGCTCCAAATCGAATGATCTGAATGATCAATGTTGATCTTCATCTGAACACATCGATGAGTTCCACCATGTGACCATGTGTATAAATCCTCATGTCTATCAAACACCTTGCTCATCTGGGCCAAGCCTCCCCCGCTTCGGCCGGAACCTCACCCATTTGTCCAACGTCTCTTTCCGGGGTATTCTCACCTCCCGGTCTGCACGGTCTCCGGAGTCTCCCAAACATGCCAGGCGCCACCGTTTCGGAAGAACACCGAAACGCCTCCCAGCGAGTCACCAGCGATGAAGAAGGTCTGCGAACCTCTCCTTGAGGTGTCCGCGTGCGTTGCAGAAGGTGCGCGGTTGTGGTTGTCAGCGAAGCAGGTGGGTTTGAGATCGTCACGGTCAGATGTTAAAATTTTGATTTCGTGTCCTTCTGTAGGCTAAGCCTATGGAACGAAGCAGCCCGTAGACCGAAAAGCTGAATTAGCAGATGTTAAAATACACAAAAAAGAAAAACGAACTCAGCTAAGCGTCTCGATGGGGAGGACAACATTCAGCTTGCGTGTCTGGGCGGACTTCGATGCGGAAGCGTTATGGCATGGTGTGACCACTCATGACCCCGAACAAGTGATGCGATGCTTCATCATGCTTCATCCAGATGCAGTACACATTGCAGCACGCTTGACTGATAGATTTGTCATGATACCGAACACCAGCTCTCACGCAACTACCACAACGAAAAGGATCTCCGTGCTCTCGCCCGTCAGCAGTTCGTCACGTCCCAGCCTCTTCCAGTTCCCCATGTGACAAGGTAAATTGTGTGGCAAGGCTGGCTGTAACGTTCAGCGTTCTCACATCCTGCCGCAATAAGGATTGGTGGTTTGAAGCCTCAACAATAAGCGTTGTCGAGGAAAAGGCCAGGAGGTCAGCCCCATCAAGCCCTTAGCTTCTTTTGTTATCTTTTGTTCATCGTTTTTAAGGATTTTTAAGGTTGGGGGCCGGAGTCCTTGTCCTTCTTCTCTTTCTCCTTCTCCTCTTCCTTCTCACCATCTTTCCTGCTTGCGGTACTTTTGAACGTCATCCACACTCCACACTCCACATCAGTCCGCTGCTCTGGGTGACCCTGGCACATCGGTCTTCTGCTTCTTGGCGATGATCTGACGGACAGTGGACCGGACACGATGCACGGGTCCGTGCACGGCAGCGTGCAGCCGATACGGTACACGATCTCCGAGTGCAATGCAAGGACACGCCTTAATGTTGTGTACTCGGATACCGTTGTCTTCGCCCACCGTGACGACAAAGTGATTCTCCTCGCAAGTGTGTACGTCTGTTTTTTGGGCGCGTCTGATGAAAGTTCACTCATGCTGTGCAACATTTGTTGAGAAGCAAGTCAAAGTCATTGGCAAATGCATGGAACCCCAACAATGCACTGTATGTTGCCTCAACACAACATGCTGGCAAAGTGTCACACGTCACAGAAAAGATGCTGAGATTGTACCCTTCGGCTCAGTACTTTCCATGCGACCCAGGGCTCAGGGCTCCTGGCTCCTTACCCTTCACATCTTCCAACGGTGCGGTCGGGGCAATGTATTAGTATGACCATTTAACATCCAGTAGCTATGTTTCTTCTAAAGCTGCCTGTAAACCTGACGGTTCCAAAGTCTTGCGCATTTCACAACATAAAAATAGACCGTCTGCCAACACCTCGGCTGGGCCAGGCTATACACCCCGGCAAACGATCCCATGGACCCTGAGAATTCACCCATGAAAAACAGATGCTCCGTTCGTAGCGATGCCAGGAGCCCCGTTCGTAGCGAACCTTGTTCCTAGTAAGGCCAGGAGCCCCGTTCGTAGCATCCTTGCTCCTAGATGAAAAAGATATGCTCCTCTACAACCCAGTGTTTTGTTTTTGCAGGAGGGTAACAGTATTGCCATGGCTGATCTTGCAGGCCTGTGTCGGAGACAGTTCCAGCTGGATGATCTTTCCCTCATGCCTGGCTCCAGCTGGATTTCTTCAATCCATGCAAACCTGACTTGGAATCCTGGGCTGGCAAACCCCAGGTCGAAGCGATCAAGTAAGGGCTCGTTTTCCAGAGAGTAGATGGAGAGCTTCGACCTGGGCGCAAAATCAGCCCCAGCATGAAATGTTGTGTTGTGTGATGATAGGATATGTGTCCGTGTCACAGCTTGTAGGTTGTGAATAGTTTTGGTACATTGGTTCATACAATTGCAAGCTACGAGTACCAGCCTTTTTAGATGACATTGGCATCATGTCCACGCAGTCACCGGCAGAATAAAGCAGGTAGTCGCTGTCTTTGGCACCCTCGCGCCAAAGAAGCTTCCCTTGGGGACAGTCAAAGCTTATTCCCCTTCTTTGATGGGGCTTGCCCTTGCTTTTTGCATTGCAAAGGGTAAGGCCCACGGCACCACAAAGTTTCGCAACTTGGCTTTCCAGCCCGTGGTGGTGTACATGCTGCCCATCATGGAACTCATCTTGACCACTTGCTCGGCGGAACTCTTTCGATCAGCCTCGTACTTGGCCAAAGCCTCTGGATCTTGATCGGCCAAAAGCCGCCCCAACCGCCAAGCATCCATGATGGCCATATTGGCTCCCTGTCCCATGAAGGGTGCCGTGGCGTGTGCCGCATCGCCAATCAACGTCACACGTTTCTTAGGCGAAACCCAAGACTTCAAGATTGGCTGAATGTAGACGCCCCAGTCAAAGCACATCTCAGCATTTTCAATGGACTTGTGCAGGACCTCATGGTCTGGTGCCACCTTCGCAGCCAACTCTTTCAACTTCTCCTTGACAATTGTAGAGTCCCACTTGTCGCTGATCAGCTCTTCACTGCGCATCAACAATAGGCACACATCATGGCGCTTGTCTCCAGCACCGGCTGTCCAGTCCATAATTTGGTAGCCTTCACCATCGCTCGTGTTCCAGTTCACGTGCACCTCCTCTGGAGTTTTGCGAACTGGTACTGAACTGCAAGAGTATAAGAGGCGAAAGCCGGCATGCACTGGATCACCCGCTTCGAAAAGCTGCCTTTTCACCACACTATGAATGCCGTCTGCTCCAATCGCAATGTCGGCCTTTTGGATGAAGACTTCACCCTTGCTGTTGGAAAAGGTCAAGGTCACCTCTTTGTCATCCTCCGCAATGCTCTCCAGCTTGTGATCCAAGTAGATCATGTCTGGAGGAAGTGACTGGACCACCATCTGCTGCAAATCTCTGCGCATGATGATTCCACCGCCAGGCATTGCTCCTTCCAAATCGACATCCGTCACTTCCTGGCCATCACTCCAGTACTTGCCTGTCTTGGTGTGATTGGCAAGTCCATCAAAGGCCTCCTTCAAGCCAAGCTTCTCAAGGATCTCGACCGATTGCTGGATGCCTAGCGATCCTCCACGGGTCTTCCACTCAGCCCAAGCTTCATAGAGCTTCACCTCCACTTTCCCTTCACCGTATTGAGACAGTGTTTTGGCCAACACCAAGCCACCAATCCCAGAGCCTACAATTGCGATGCGGGTCGCCATCGCAAAGAAGCGCAGACTTAGGCGAGCTCAACTTTGGAACTGGAGCCAAGAAATGCTGCTGGCACGGCCTGCACATGGCACTGGATGCCAAGCGGAGATACTGCGTAAAGTCATCTGAAGCTTCCCATGTATCAGAAAGTTGAGAAATTCTGCACTGAGGAATGCCAAGGCGCTCTGAATCCAGCAGAACCAATAGGGCAGATGCGGACTGCACAGGGAGTTTCATCACATACGGACTACACGTCCAAATGCTCCAACATAGCTACGTTTGCGACCACCATCCATTTGCAGACCAGTCACAAACAATTGAGATACCACAAAGAAAAACAAAAAAACGGATAGTTGCCTTTGAACCCGGAGATTTCTTCAGGTGAAGAAAGGCATGCTGCCGTACCTGAAAGTGCGCATCATCTGCTGAAACACGCGCAGTGCTTGAAGCCGTTGGGTTGGGTTAGAGCCGGATTCGGAAACTAATCGGTCGGATTCTGAAACTAGGGTTCTGAAACTGGGGTTCTGAAACTAGGGTTCTGAAACTTGGCTTCTGAAACTAGTATTCTGAAACTGGGGTTCTGAAACTAGGATTCTGAAACTGGGGTTCTGAAACTAGGATTCTGAAACTGGGATTCTGAAACTTGTATTCTGAAACTGGAAAGTCAGATTCTGCAACTGGTATTCTGAAATATTCTGAAACTGGAAGTCAGATTCTGCAACTTGCCTTCTGAAACTTGCAACTGGAGATCTCCACATCATGCAATAGCGTGTGCCTGTGACATCACCTTTGAAGCACATCCAAACCAACGTCATTAGACCCCCACCCAACCCCCCCCCACCCCCCCATCCCCCCTTGTCCCCATCGTGTGATCTTGACATCACGCCAACCCCCTCATCATTCAAGTTGCGGAATCCAAGTGAGGGAATCCACAATGTTGCGGAATCTAGTTGCGGAACGCCAGTTGTGGAATCCCAGTTGCAGAAACCTAGTTGCGCAAGCCTAGTTGCGGAATCCTGACAGTTGCGGAATCCTAGTTTCGGACTCCTAGTTGCGGAATCGTAGTTGCGGAATCCCAGTTGCGGAATCCCAGTTGCGGAATCCTAGTTTCGGAATCCTAGTTGCGGAATCCCAGTTGCGGAATCCGACCAAACAGTTGCGGAATCCTAGTTGCGGAATCCTGCGCAGTTGCGGAACTCGACTTGATCCCGTTGGGTTGTTTCCATCTGTCCACCTTGCACTTTATCATGATTCTAATGAGATGGGTTCGGAGAGGCTGCAAGCTGAGGTGAATGAGTTTTGTCTTTTTGCCTGAAAAATATGTGATGGCCCCCCGGTTGCGCTTGTGCGAGCCTGCAGTTCTGGGGCAATCACCCTCTGCCACCTGGTCAAACAGATCTTTGGCAAGCTGGGAACTGGTCAAACACCTTCGTGTTGCTCAAGGTCTTATAGCTTTCAAAGCGAAAACCATCTGCAGCAGGGCCGCTGAAAATGTCTCGTGACATTGGTGGAAACTGGTCTATGCCTGGGCAAAAGCCGGGTTGGTATCGATTTCAGGCTTGTTCTCCGACACTTGCTTGATAAGCGAAGATTAGCGAAGGTCGAAGGTTCGTTCCTTAGAATATAAAAACAACTCCTAAATGGTATTCAAGAGATGTTGGAAAATGTTGGAAAACAATCTCTTAAGGGGCTGTCACCCAGAAGCACAATCTTGCAAGAACGCCCCCAGCAGAAAGCTTGCAATTCATCAAGTTGAGAAGCGATTGTTGACCAGTAGCTTCTCATATTTCGTGAAAGTTCAATCTGGCTCCAGGTATTCCGAGCTTTTTGCGGAGCTCATACTTACGGGTGCTCATCACGTCGTGCCTGGCATCAAACGTCACCTCGCTGATCATGGGGCTGCCCCGCTCCAGATGCTGGCGCAAGAGCGTGCAAGCGCTTGCAGCTTTGTGCCACATCTACTTGACAAGACATCTTTGGACGGTTCTGGCTTTGATGTATGGGAAGGCACTGTAAGACACCTCTGGCTCTCTTGGGACCTTCAGATTGATTAGGTTGTCAGGCAAATGGCAAACTACAAATAATCAACATAATCAATCTTTATTGGTCAAGCTCGGAAAGGAGCATCTGCCTGGCGTGGTGCTTATAACAGCTGTTGGAAACATGGAAACTAGCAACATCTTGACACTCGGTCTTTGAACATTCCGGATGCTGAGGGCTGCATGGCCCGGCCTGGCGCTGAGCAGATGGAAGCTCTACCCGACGGCCCGAGAGGATACCGCCCCGGATCTCCTCTAGTGCTTGTAGCGTCAAGTGCTTGCCTCGTCTGGGTCAGAGACGAGAACATTGCCGAGCTCCTAAGCTCTAACTCACCTATCTTGGGTATATCCCATGACCAGCAACAGTGGACGATGATGGTTAATAAAGGCCTTTCTCAAGAATAGTGACAGTGATAAGCTTTTACCGACTGTTACTGCTAATGGGCTGCACTGTGCTTATTTGATATCTAGTTGATACCTTAATCACCTGCTAGCCCCTCTAGTTCACCAGAGCCTCGAGTGGGAAAGCAAGATGATTTGATCAGAAACTGTAAGCCAGCATATTTCTCAGCTTTGCTATAATTGCACGCGCCTCGCATTTCATCCCGCAGTTCATCGAGCTTGGATGTCAATGTGCTTAATCTAACCTGGAGAATGCCGAGGCCAGTGGTGGCCAGTCAGTCTGCTCTGCGCCAGGCCTTGCAGCTTTCCTCATCATGACAAGGGGCTGGGGACCCAAAGACCTCAGTCTCCCGCTCTCACCCGGACGTTCCGGACTCACCAATCTCACCTTCCTCTAAAGCCAAGATGCTCCAGCTAGGACTTCTTGTGCGTGTAGTAAGCCCGCCAGCCTCAGCCAGCTCAGCAGAACATATCATCCATGAAATGCCCCACGTCTGATCTTGCATCTGATCTTGCATGCCTATGGCTTTGCGGATCTATTTTGAACATTCTGATACATCGCTGGGGAGGACCGGCCAAAGGAGGGTACGCATGGCCACTTCCCCGCCCCCTGACAGCTCAACAGTTGCTGTACAGTAGGAAGAAATGCAGCAACAATAATGTTGAAATCCACAAGAATGATGTGACACAAGTGACACAAGTTTGCTCCTATTTCTGTGTGTCAACAGAACCAGGATATGACTCTGCAAGGCCAGGCCTCCTGCCTGGCTTTAATGTGGAATGATGCGACAAGACAAAATTAACCTGTAAAGTCGGAGGCTGAGACAACCCGCCTCTTCTGTTGGGCAATATTGGACAGCTGAGAGCCAACAGCGGAGGGCCGTGCTTGGCGATCTTCAACGGTCTATCCGATCTGAGAGGACGTGCCATTGATGGAATTGGTTGAACTCAGCGCAGGCGATGGGGCACATGCGCACAGAGGCATGATGGTGTCCCTTTTCTCGCTGATGCGGCCTCCAGTTTTTGTCTAATTTTGCATTCATTTATCTTTGCAACATCTTGAGAAATGCCTGCCGCCTTTCTCATTCCAACCATCTCACTTTAGTCCAGCATGATGCGTGGACAACCTCAACCTCCACACTATCAACCGCTCCAAGTTGAAAGTGTATGGCAACATTATGGAAAAAGATCTGATAGTTTTGGAGCTGCTGGTAAACAGTGGCTTGGGGGTCTTTTGGGGGATCAAACGACTGCCAGGGTGAAAAGCTCAAGTCAAGACTGCCGGCTGGTCAACACCTTGGCAGCTCGGCAGCATGGTGCAAATGGTCTATTCCGTTCAAGACAAAGGCGCGAACCAATTGGCTTATTCGACCATGACCTGGGTCACGTCCGCCACGTAATGTTTCTTGATGAGACTGGATGCTTTTCAGTGCAACATCATTTCCAAGGTCCAAGCAGGAGCTTCATCCAAAGCATCACCACCCTCGGTCAACAATTCAGGATCAGTGTTCATTGCGCGTCCCCACCGCCTCCGAATGAAAGAGCAAGCTAAAGAACACCCAAACACTGTACCTTGATAATTCCTTACACACGTCCTCAGACATGTTCAGTGAAAACCGAGTTGGAGCTGTGCTGCCAAGACGCCCCAATGAGCGCGAGCTCCATACCAGGCTCTCTCTTGGGCTCGTCGATATTCGGCGTGGGCCTGTTAAGGAGTTTGCAGGGCGACTTCCAATCTGGAGCAAGCGTATGCAGAGGGACTGCATCAACAAATGAACTAACATTGAAGAAACTGGTCCGTCTCCAGAGTTTGAAACATAAACTCTGCTGGGAGGCCTGAGGAAGTCCTTGGCGTAGTACTTGTCTTCGGAGAAGAACCTCAAGATATAGACACATTTCCAGATTCATCACTCATCCTACTTAAGAGACCTCAGCAGCTTAAAAAGGATGTGACATGATGTGACATCATATCTCCATGTTGGATTTCCTGCGGGACTTTCTGCTTGACTTTGCGCAGAAACCGGACTCGTCTAAGGCTCATGCTCAGCCTCTACTAAGTTGGCCCTGCGCAGCCGATAGAACTCACCAGCGGAGCCGGAAAATCACATCTCAACGACCGGACTCGTAGCTCTGAAGCAGCGCACCCGAAGCGCCGGCCATTTAAAGCCTTCTTGGCCTTGGAGCTGCCCTGCACAGAAAGAGAGTAAATCTCTGGATTCCGCAGGTTGTTGGCCAATGGAATTCTTTTTGAACCGGAAGCGACGCGTTGAGCATCGTTTAGCTATGCCTCACCTCACCTCTCGCAAGCTCACCTCTGTTCCAAAACAAGGTTTGTCCACCGGCCACACCTCGATATTCGCAAACTCGATGAAGGCATAGCCAAAGCCCGGCGTGGTGGGGTCCACCGGTCCGGACGGGCCCTGAGGACGTTCACCCCGTGACACCCCGTGGGCGTGGGCGTTGGGTTTTCGGGCGACCGCAAAAAAGAAGAGGAGTGCATGTAGACTCGACGTATGAACTAAACACCCCCAGGCGTGGATGCACGCACTCACGAGTTCTGCTCGCTTCTACGCCATCTCTTGCTGTATTAGCGGGTATGGGTAGAGTGGGGTGAGACCATTGAGTAAAAGGAAAAACAAGACCCCCTGTACAACAAGTGTCGGCAAGGAACGAACGAATGGGCTGGGTGTATCCAAGAACACATGTCTGAGATCGAGTGATGCATCTCAATGGTGAACGAATTGACAAACTGAATTGGAAGTATCTAATTCGTGTTCGGATATGGAATCTCATCGAAGTCTTTCTTTCTTGCCAGGGCATTACGGACTTTAGTTAAAAAGGAGCCTCGTTGTGTATGATCAAGTTCCGGCCACGTGGGCCAAACGGGTGGATGAGGATTATCTGGCAAAGACGGCATCTCCACCTCGTTGTGGTAGGGCGGATTATGTGGGATTGTCTGTAGCCATTTGAGTACAAGATCATAAGTTGCGGACGTGTTTGGCAAATTTGGGCGGCAATCCCAGGCGTGGATTGTAAAAATTATTCCTGTTGTTGTTCTTCATCAATCAAAATAGTCTAGATTTGGCACTGGAGGATCTACAGTAACGGTAACGGTAACGAGATGCAACACTCCTATCGTATCCTTTTAGTACAAGCATTGTACAAGAATGCGTTTCTGCCACAGTGACCCGCGCTTGCCTTACAGGAGATTCATTGCAAAGGAATTGAGTCAAGAATTGGAGACACCTTCATCAACCAGATTCTGAGGTCAAAGCTCCACCACCAGGGCCATCGCCCGCTCCGCCAGGCTGGCCGGATGGTGACATGCATCCCAAAAGATACAAGAGCAAAGTCTTACGCGAAACACGAACATACAAGATCAAGGTCTATAGATATCTGGACATCATGTGAATATCATGAACTAAAGACTTGGAGAGCCTTTGCATCTCCAAAGAAACACGGCCACCAGCATCACCAAAAAAACGACTCATCCCTACCCTCGCACGCACGAAGAAGGAGTAAAACCACGACCGCTGCTACGCCCTCGCATCGACCTTGGCCAGCTGACCACCGATGGGAACCAGCGCCATGGACAAGTCCGGCAGAGTAGGTGCGGGCAAAGCCGCTGGGGCTGCTGGCGCCGGTGCCTGCGAAAACAAGCCCGGCGGAGCGGGAGCGGAGAGTCGGCTTGGGGGCAAACGTGGGTGGTAAATGGTAAATCAGTGGTAATGATTTGGAAACAAAATGAAAGAAAAATCAATAGATGTTCAATATCATTATAATCATGAGAGCATGTCCAAGTTTCTGCTTTTGCTCGTTGCTTCCTATGCACAAAAGGTGTTTCAACATGAGTCAGCACTCTCATGGATTCTCCTTAGGCTCCTCTGTTGGGGCATTGGTCAGCGCAAGTGGGCCTGCTGAAGCGTTCCACACGTTTGCTTCAACATGTATCAAGAATCTCAAAATGCTTCGAGATCTCGTTGAGTACATCACAAGCTGTGCACTCTCACACCGGCTTTTGCAACGTGTAACGTGTATATATATATTCTATATATATATAACATATTATAACATAATGTAGCTTCGCTCATGGACCGAGTTTGATTGTTGCTTCGCAGCATCTGAACTGCTTAACGGAGCACAAGAGCGAACCTGCAGGCGCAGGCAGGGCATTGTTCAAGCCACCGCCGCCGCCGCCACTGCCACCACCGCCACCCCCACGAGGAACCTTGACACGGATTTTTTTTTGGATTGCCTCAGCCTCTTCAAAAGCTCAAAGAAGAAGGAGCACCGAATAGGTTTACACCGAATCAAAGGAGGGACCTCAGGACTCTCGCACCCCTGCCTCAATCGAGACGACTGCACCAAACTTCTCCCCTTCCAAGCGGATGTCTGTGCAAATCTCGACATACCTGCATGCCAAAGCCGTGAAAACAAAGATTCAAAGACCTCTTCAAGCCTATTTGGCCTGTCAGTGTGCCTGTGCCTCCCTTTTTTACAGGACCACCCCCTTCAGTTCTGTTTCTGGCGTACCCAGTCTCATCGGCCAGGTCCTCTAGAGTCACAATGTTCTTGAGATAGACCACCTGAGTGTGCAGCCAACTTAGTCACGAATGTCTGCTTGGCCAAAAAGCACTACAAAAGCCTGGAATGCTTTCTTGGATTCAACAAAGAATCTCAGATTCTTGTTTGCGTCATCGAGTGAATCGAGTGCCTTCTTGTCTTACCTGGATGGCGTCTTTCCCTCTGTTCCAAAGCTCTCTCACAAGATTGGAAAGGACCGGACCAAATGGTCAACAGATGTCAACAGTACCAGTAGATGTCAGACTCACTCTCCAGTAGAATCCCAGGTCTTCCGATCTTTTCCGTACACCAAACTCACACAGCTTCAGCTGAGGCCAGGCAGCAGCAGGACCGGACCAACTGGTCGATGAGTCGATGGCGGGGCCTTGGTCCTGGGTGCCACACCTTGCTGGGCACCACCCGGGCACCTAGCTTCTGTTCTCTGTCCACCTGGCGAGGAAAACAAACACGTGGCCATCCTGACACGTGCGCGCAGAGGAGAAAGAATGGTAAGCTGCCTGCGAGCGACCAGACCCAAAAGCAGCAAGAAATCTGGTCACAAAAAAGAAAAACAAACACCTCACCTTCCGCCTTCTTTCTTTGTCAATGGTTTGATGAGCTGCATATGCTTTTGGTGAAAACTCCTGCCAAGTATGCCTGGTTTCAAGGGTAAATCCGTTGGACCCAATCAAATCCTTTCTGAAGTCTCGTCTTTGACGTTTCGCCGTCGATCGTCGGAATCGACGAGAAGGCCATACTCCAGGTATTGCACGGCTTGGCATGGCACTGGCCCATACTTGATACTGGCTCACTTGGCAAGATTATTGAGCTCTATACATATATATATATAATTATACAAACATATATGTTCCAAAGGTCAAAAGTCAGTGATCGGTTCTAGGGCCAGGAGGAAACGGTTTCGCAACACGATCTATTTGAAAATGGATGAAAATGGAGCAATTGGACCAAAAGGTGCCACACTCAGGTTGACTCACTCAGGTGCCCCACCAGGCCAAGCTCAATCACTTGATCCGGTTTCAGGACTTTCAGCTTGTTGTTGCCTTGTATCGCGCTTCTATCGTCAAACGGTCATCGCTTTTCTGAGAAAAGACAGAAAAATAACGCCCTGTTTGTGGAGCATCCGCGCGTGAACGTCTGTCTACAAACGACTCCCGGAAATGATCATGGTTACGCGGATGGCATGGCCTCTTGAATGACAATTGAATTGTCCTGTACAAACAGATAGTATTCCACTATATACTTATTTGTGGGGAGCGTACTTCTCTTTGAGTTTCTGGATGCGTTCTCCTCAGGTCTCAACCCAACTCCAGACCTTCCAAAGCAACACGTGCCTGTCGAGCTGGCTCAGCGCCCACATGTCGTTTGAGCGTCCACATGTCGTTGCCACTGCAGAAGGAATTCACTGGAGACTGGAAAGGCAAACCCGCGCACGGCCTGCTGCTGCGTCATCATATCTTGATACTCGAAGAAAGCAACTCCGACCTCGGACAAACAAACCGACTCCGTGTCGAGGGAGTTTCTGCGATCCGCAGGTCGCACGCCGTTTGAGGAGAGCACAGATTTGCCTTCTGAATCCTTCTGCAGAGCATAAAACTTCAGCTGCCCGAAGGTGATGAGCAACTCTTTGATTCGCTCTTCCTAAATGAGACCAAGATGAGCCATGACAGCCATGGCAGCCATGGCAGCGTGGACGTGGTGGCAAAGGAGCTGAGTTTGGGACACTTACAAAAGTTGGGATACAGCAAAGACACCTCAGAGGTGACATCGTCGCCACAACATCTAATCCTCACAGGTCCCAAATGAGTCCGTCGCTCTCCGCGGAGAGACGATCTCTCCGGTAGATCTGCTGAGATCAGAACAAGCGACTGTCAATGGCAGACTGTGGCCTTGGCAAGGCGCAAGTCCAGCATCATGGCTTTAAGGCCAGGAGCCCCTAGTAGCTTCTGGCTCCTAGTAGCTTTTAAGAAACAAGAATTGCGAGGACGCAGTTCTGGGAACCCCGTGCTGTCCAGGCAATCCGGGAAGTGCAAGTCTGATGCATCGGGATAGAACAAATCACAGAAGCTTTCCGTGTGCAATCAAACATAGATAAGATAAGATGTGATATGATACGATATGATATGTGATATGTAATCCGCCGACCCCACACCGTGGGGTGAGGCGTGACTGTCGATGTTAGCCTTAGCCTTAAGCCTTAGCCTTAGCCTTAGCCTTAAGCCTTAGCCTTAGACTTAAGCCTTAGCCTTATCCTTAGCCTTAGACCTAGTCCTTAGCCTTAGACCTAGACCTTACCTCCCCTACCCCTCCGGACCCTTGTTGCAGTGACGAAATCCCGACCTAAAAGCGACCTAAAAGCGACCTAAGAGCGACCTGATAGCAACGGAATTTGACGGGATTGCGACCTGATGGTGGCCTGGATTGTCCAAGATTCTGCCATCCCAATTGATTTACATCTTGGGGCACCCTCTCCACCCGCGCGGGAAAATAAGCACGGTCCAAAATGGTCCCGGGCTCGAATCCCGGGCTGGTCGCGGCGTGGTCCCGGCCAATGCCCTTGCTTTTTCGTAGATGTTGTCACGTTTTCTGTTGGATTTATGGGATTTTCAAAGGCTTCTCCAGCATTTTCCTAGGAATGCTCTAGGCTTTGTCTAGATTTTGTTACGTTTTCGGCTGGATGCTTTTCCAAGAATTTTCTAGCGCTTCCTCTTGTTTTTAGGTTCCCAGATTTCCCCAAAAAATTGGTAACCTTTTGCTAACCTATTTTTTTCCATTGTTGTACTCATGCCTATACGGCTTTTCCAGCATTTTCGTAGGAATGCTCTTGGCTTTGTCTAGATTTTGGCAGGACCCCGCCCGCGACCATCCCGGGACCCAACCCTGCCACTACATTTTCCCTTGGGGTCGGCGGCTGCAGGCGGTAGCCTGGTAAATATGTGATATAACATGATGTGGAAATGCACACATATATGTTTATATAAGGGTTATACAAAGGCACAGTTGAAAGCATTCCATAGTGGAAACGCAAACTTGCCGGCAGTGCGTCTTGCCCAAAGCACCGTGCTGTGCCATCAGATCCTCACAAGCAGAAGGGAATCCAGTGAACTGCGATACGTCAAAAATAAGCGTCTCGAATGTTTTGGTATTTGACGTATCACATCGCATAACCAGCACACTCACGTGTTTGCAACAGTCCCCAAGTGAAGGCGTTGAAGATGACTGTGGAGTGCCTCAAAAAAATGGGAGCGGAAGCATGAAACGGGAAAAGCACCTGCAAAAAGTCAGAAAACGGAAGGTCAAGGGCCTCCTCAATTAGGCCTCTTTTATAGGCCCCTTACTAAAAGAGGCCCTTTACCTGTGTGTTTTCTCTATCATCATATCACCAAGGCCAAGCCGAAGCAGGTCTTTCTCTCCGGGCTGGTCTCGCTCCACCCACCACCCCAATCAAATTATGAGATCGCTTCTAGGTTGGAGGCCATCGCCCTTAGGTTGGAGGCCATCACTCTTAGGTTGGAGGCCATTCCTATCCCCAGATGACAGACACTACCGAGACACCGCCTGGAAGCTCTTCTCGCAGGTTTTTGTCCCGAACGCTAAAATAATAGAGTGTACGCTAATTGCTATTGAGGAACAACAGCAACAACAACACCAACACCAACACCAGCAGCAGCAGCAGCAGCAGCAACAACATGTATATAAATATATCGGATAAAAAATATATAAGTAAGATTATATAAGATTCTAAGATGATATAAGACATGTAATTGCAAACAACATCAGACGGCTTTTGTCCAACCGAAGAAATGGCTTGGTGTTGTGACTCAAGCTCACTGTGCCAGCCTGTGTCTGGGCCTGTGTATCCCTTTGGTCTGCCAACCTGCAATCCCATTCTTGAGGCTGGGCTGTAAAACTGAAAAGAAGTTCAAAGAGTCTTCGACAGCTTCGAAGCTTGAAAGCTGGCATGAAGAGGTGTCCGACTTCAAAATGGTCAACATGCCCCACCTTCAGTTGGCAGCCCAAGAGTTCTACGCCGTTCAGGCGGAGACCGTTGGCAGCCTGCAAGGGAAAAATCACCGTGACAACTGATCTTTGAGATCATGTCTTTTCAATCCGTACAATAGGAGAGAGGCCATCGCTATTAGGTTGGAGGCCATTGCTACTAGGGTGGAGGCCATCTGTACTGTATGCTTCACACAACGACAGGCGTTGCAGTCTTGCAGTCCGGCAGGCATGGCTCTGTGCCTCCTCTGCTGTTCGGAACTCTACGAAAGCGAAGTTGGCACCACTGCCTGAAGCTCAAGGGGACATATGTTGAGACCCCTGCCTTGAAGATTCCTTAATGGTGTGGCATTCTCTCATCAAGAGCAAAAACCGAATGTTCTCCCTCTCCCATCATTTGTTCATGGCAGGTAAGAATCATCCATGCAAAACGAAGAAGAATGACCACGCAAAGAATGCCCACAATGGCTCTGTGTCCAAGACCGCCCATCGTGCAGCCGCACACCTGGGGCTTATACCACCCACCAGACTCGCGAAATCTGAGACTTTCGACTTTAATCGAAGCACGAGTTCACCGCACCAGTGTAAACAGCAGAAAAAAGAAGCATGTAAAGGGCCTCTTGCGTAATGCCCGTTCTTTACCCTATGTTTTTTGTCGTTTTGTGCTTTCTGGAACTGATCAGGCCGATCGAGCCCTTTTAGGCAGTACCCTTTCACAGCTGGAAGGGTGAGGCCATGTGGCACTAAAAGAACACGCACTCGCGAATTCGAGACGCTGGCCCTTGTGGCTCAACGGACTAGAATCGTTCAACTACTTGCAGCCACGAAGCAATACGTTTGAACAGAATTGTGCTCCTGAACTCGTACGACACCTGTATTTGTAGCAAAGAAGATTTGTGCTCAAGCAGCCGGAGCAATAGAACGGAAGAAACTTCTCCGACACGGCAGGCGCCATTTCCGTCGTGTTCACCACGTCAAATGGATTTGCCCGTTTTCTCAGGAAATGGGAGACTTCTTCTCTTTGTATTTGTAGCCCTGGCTGAGCAACACTGATCTGTGTGAGGTTGGTCGCGTTCAAGCCGGTGGCGTTCTCAGTAGCATTGTGAGCGTGGTTCCACGACGGCAACGCCGGCAACGCCTCTGCGCAGATCGCCAACAGCGCGAGCGGTGCAAACGGAACCATGGGGCAGCGAACGGGATGAGCGAACGGAACGGGCTGATCTGAACATCGGAGAAATGCGGCGGAAGCGCGGCTGGGGTGCAGACGTGAGAGACTTGAATGGCTGCACCCGGGACCAAAACAAGCCGGTGCCACTGGCTCGCCCGGCAGCGTGTTCACCTTTACCGCCACTGCTACCTGCAGCTCACTGTGGACAAAACTGTGGCCCAAATTGTTGCAACTCTGTTGAGAGCAACCGTGGAATCGGCAACCGGAAAGAACGCAAGAAAGGATGAAGCTGTGTTCAATCGGAACATGTAAATCTACCCTTTCCACTTTGCCAGGTCACACTTTTTCAGGTGGCAAATTCTCCCCCTCGGGGCAAGATGACTGCTTTTGAAGCAGGCGCCACTTGGCAGATTTTATAGTACAAGACCTTAACCTGCCAGACTTCACGATCCGTTTGAAATGCTTCTAGCGGAAGGTAGGGACCTGGTGACCTGAGAGGGCATTCAAGGGCATCAACCAACATCCTGAGGTCCAGCAGCACACAGAGACGCGAAATGATCCCATTGAATTAACGAGGACGCGCATGAGAAGGTGCAACGTCTTCTGCAAGCAAGGTCGTGACCAATGAATAGCAAAAAATCACGAGATACGTGACATGTCAAGTATGTACACGGATGTACACACGGATGTCACATTTGCAAATGTTTGGTATGTTGTAGCTGTTTTGTGGCGGAAACAGCTTGGATAGAAACAGCATGCGCTCCGGAGACAAGACGTCGTTCTCTGGCTCCCATTTTTCAGGGAAAAGATTCCCTCAGGGAGGGTGACACCAGTGAAACGGGGATTGAGCGGCTCTGTGCAAAAAAAACAACGAACAGCGAACGAATTCTTCTACTGAAGGTGTTTACACAAAATGCAGGCGGTTTCTTGTCCCCCAACAATGAACATAAACATGATTGAAGCTTGAAGATCTCAGCTTTCCAATCACGTACCAGAAACATCAGCGAAGTTCATCCTGCCCAGCTTCCGGAGCTTCCTGTGGCGCCACTGCCACCGGGCTTTCCGCCCTCGGGGCGGTAGCGGGTTCAGCCTCCTCGCCGGGAAGCGGTGGCCGAGTTTCGACGGGAAGCGGGTCCGAGGCGGTCTGGTGAACCATCTCAGGCTCCTGAGCTGGTCATGGAGTGGGCTCTGAGTCTCCAAACGAAAAATGACCGAAGGTAACATGAAAATGCACGGCATGATGGCATAATGGCATGATGGCATGGCAACATGAAGGCGGGAAAAATCCAGCGCCTTGGTGCGTTCTGGCCATGATACCATGGCCTCTCAGGTTTTGCGGTTAATCAGTTTGAAGCCGTGGCACCTTCAAACACAGCTTCTGAGTTTCACAGCGTTTGTCCACCTGCCTTGTCCAAGCCTGACCCTCGACCTGAAGGGATCATCTCAAAAGCCCAAAACGTCGGCAAAAGGTCTCAACGCGCCGTCAAGAGCTGCTGCACCTTCAGAGGCGGCCAATTTCTGAAAGTGCCGCCTGGACGAGCGCTGGATGAGCACTGCGCTGAGAAATCAGGTGGAGCGCGGTTTCTTTGGCGTTTGGATTGGTTGACTCCGTTCCTCTCGAATCTATGTCTATCCAACTTGTTTCCACACCTAAGCTGCGCTGGGTGCATGAAGAGCCACAGCAAGTAGGCAAATGAAGCCAGCAACCTGCCAAATTCTTTGGGCCATTGGAAGAAGGAAGAAACGGCTGGCCAAAACCGCTGGCCGGAACTAAGGTCTAGGCAGAAACAGCATTCCAGGGAACTGAAAAGAGGTCACCTCAACATCCGCCTAAGTAATAACAAGTTTAATAGCCGAAACAGCACCTAAGTGAAAGCCACGAAAAACGCTCACGTCTGTAAACTGAGCGTTCCACATCCTGCTCCAGCTGTGCTGATATTGAAATGAAGGCAGCCCCTGCGGCCATGAAGACCTGACAGTGAACACAGCCTATGCACAGCAGGTATCTGTAGCGTCCTGGGGATCTGTAGCACTCAGGGCATGGCCCATGCAAGTCCTGCTAGGTTGCTCACTGATCTCCACCCAGCCTTCACAAGCTGAAATGAAATGACAGATTTTGGTGCGGCAACCGCATATATACCTAATAAATGTAGTAGACTTCAGCATACAATGTCAAATAAGGCTTGAAAGGTGTTCCTCAAGATATAGTGCACTAGAGGACAGTACAACACAAACTAGTAACTAGTGCTAAGGCCAAAAAGCGCCTGTTCTTACACTCGGAACGCGTCTCGGAACGTGTTTTCATGAAACGTGGCTGGAAAGTGCCTGGAAAGTGCCTGCGTTGCCAAAGGAGATGATGGCATCCAAGCAACACACCTGAAACGCGGAACTTCACCGCGCTGAAACTCAGTTGCGAAACCCAACGCGTTGAGAACGGAAACGTCCAACGCGTTTGGCGAAGCCAAACGGGCTCACCACTTGTTTCAGTCTGTGCCCAAAGTCAACCGGTATTTGTCAAGAAACCTGTATCTAAATCTAAATATGCCAAATATGCCTGACAAGAGACCAATATATTATAGTAAGCGAACACGTGTTTACTTGTATTGACTTCGAACAATACTGAAAGGAATAGTGAAATGAATGTGTATATATAGGATCCACAATCAATACTTATCAGCATTATATATCCTAAAAGGTGAACTCCAAACTTTCAGAAACTGCTTGACTAGGCTCTCCAGCTATACATCCAGCAGTGAATAGGTGAGCACCCCAAATGCTTGCCCAAGAGAAGTCGCCAGGGAAGTCCTCATCGACAAGAAAAACACAACATGTATGAGCATGTCCTCAACGTCTTCAAATCTTCCAGCCAAGTAAAGGTCTAAAAACTTCGCAGGAGGACTTGCGGAAGGAGATTGCTAAATCAGACATGCCAGAATGCTGCGAAAGTAGTCTCATATAAAGTCACTATGTCCCACGTCTTTACATTTCGCCCTCCAGCAAGTCCAGTGACTGTCCTGTGCAGTGCTGTTGGAAAGGCTGAGTTGTGCAGGGGTGAGTTCCTGAAGGCTGAGCTGCGCAGGGCCGAGCTGCGCTCCGTGGTTGGATGTTCCTCTGTCAATGACACACATGTCCCACCTCGACACCAGACAATCGTACGACATGCAGAAGTACGATGAGGATCCAAGCAAATGCCCTTAGTAATTGAGATTGTTTCAAGAAGAGACATAAAACGAGCATCCACTCACCTCCATCCTGCTCTTCCTACTTCTCTTGAATTGCAGTCGGCCATTTAGTATTCACTCACCTATCGCACCACATTGTACCTTTGGTCTTCGGCGATTGAAACACCGCACGATGCCTTGCCTTCTGCATGTTTTTGTTGGGTCTCCACACCGCACAATGCTGGCGAACAGCCCTACAGGCTGAATCATTCCAGCATGCACCTCGAAGTCTGGTGGCAAACGTGCCTGGGAGCGGCGGGCTGAGGCAGCGAGAGGGGACCATGTCTACACTCCCTGAAACAATCCGTGGAAAATGGTCCGTTGGAGGACCATTTTCCGAATACCAAACAGGTGGTAAACTCCACTTCCATGTGAGTTTTCCTCGGAGTGTACGTGCATCAGGCCACATTTGCATGACTGCCTCTCTCACTTTTGAAGTAATTCTTCACTCGAACAGGATACCAAAATGTGTGCAAGCAACGCTCCGGAGCACCAGCCTTCATGACCAGCCAAATCCCGTGAAGCAGGAAACCAGCAATCCAAAATAGGCCAGACACCTGGAGATCAAAGCCGCTTCAACATGGATTTCGTTGATTGACAAAGCTGTCCAAATGAAGCGAGCCAAAGCTTCAATGCCCACAACGCGCAGGAGGCTGTTGAGGTTCCCATCTAGGACAGTTTGACCGCAAGCAACCTGGTTGCAGCGACTTCTCTCCATGGTTGATCATCTGCCAAACAAATGAGATGTAATGTCATATAGGTCATGTTATATTACAGTAGTTACAGATCCTTCGTAATTGATACATATTGATACCATGTTGTCTCGGCCAAGATCTTGTAGAGCTGGATCTTCAAGTCAACAATGGTACTACTACAGACTTTAAGCAGCATTGCAGCAACACTCCAAGTCTCCAGGCAATAGTATGCGATAGAGCAGCAGCTGCGAAGCAAACCTGCACTGTGACTGCAGTGACTGCTGCTTCGACCACCATTTTAACTTCAAACTTCAGTAGTGATTCACTTTGCAGTCAACAAATGCCCGGCCGCCACGATTAGGACCACGTCCTGGAAACATGAAAGCGATGTACAAGCATGAGTGTCCGGGACAAAGCAGTGCAAAGCAGAATCCTTTAGAATTATTCTTGGCAGATTCTTGATATGGGTGTGTATTTTTATCAGGCAAACCCCAACCAATGGGTGCAAAGGCCATGGCCACCGTGGGCCATGTACAGTAAATAATACTATTAAAGCCGGGTTTCACGCCGTCCAATCTTGCCGAACGCCCATCAAACTATGATAGCACTTGCCAACTATCAGATGGATAAGAAACATGATCCCCCGTTTTCAACAGACCATCCATTAAGATTGGATGATAACCATCCATGTGTGACATACCCAAACTTGACAGAGTTAGCATTCAAACAAAGGTGCAATCTAAAGAACAAAGCCTACAAATTCATTCGCAAGCCAGAGGGTCTAGACGCACTTCCTAACCCTTTCCCCCATTAGGTGCGTTATCTCGAAAACACATGCAACACATAACCACTGCCCTCAGTGGTACATACGCATTCGTTTGAGACTAATTCATACACAGGTGGACAACCATTAAATACTTTCAACTCCCCCAGTACCCACCGTTTCGTCTACGGATCTACGGGGCCGGTCGTGGTGTTTCGATCGTGCGGACGTCAAGTCGTGCCGAGGACGTCGGGTCTTCGGGGGTCGGACCCCGTGATACCCCACGTGTCGTCCTTGTGTGGCACTGAAAGGGCTGGATTGGATTGCACCCGTTTGGGATGGAGCCTGGCCAGCCACTTCCAGCCACTTCCAGCCGCCATGTGACATGTCAAAAGGTCAAAACATGTCAAAACACGTAGGAAGTGTCTCACGAGACTGGAATGTCACCTGTAGGTCTCTTGAAGGATGCGAAGCTCCAAGAGATCAATGGCGCATTGCATACGCTGTGCTTTTGCCTTGGCCAAGCGGAGTTACTCCGATCGTCGAAACGGCGAACGAGCCCTGGGAGCCGTGCACTCCATAAGACGGCAGGAAATCCCACCACATCACCACCTAGACGACTGACAGGACGGACCGTTTTTTTGTGGTTAAAGGGGGGGAGGCCGCTAGAGGTGAGGTAGCTAGCAGGTTAAGTAGCTTAGGGCGGGGGAAGCTTCCATGAAGAAGCGCTCGCTCGCACTACTGATTTGGTTCCTAGATTCTTAGGGAAACTTAAGTAACTTAAGTTTGAAACTTGATGCGCTGGTCTTTAGCACCACTTGCCATCAAGGTTGTAAGCTTATTGACTCATACTCTCAAAAGACATTCATCTGGCTCAATATTGGTGTTCATTCGTGGACGGATGGCATGCAAACATCTGAGCTCAAGACGAGACAAATCGACTAGCATTTTGTTAGAAAGATGAGCATACACCTTGGCATGGCTCGGGCTTGGCACGATATGTTAAAACGAATTTACCTCCAAGCGCTTAGTCAACAATGGCTTTCAGCTCGAGGAACACGGGAACAAGCCTTTCCGTCCGGTCTTGGCATACCAAAAAGAAACGTATTCGCACGTGATATGGGGTCAAAAATGCGGCAAGACGTCTCAAGCTTTGTTCGCTGGGCCCAGTGTGTCGAGCGTTCTTTTCGTCGTGTTGAACACTTCTGCAGTCGAAGCTGCTCTATTCCAACCCCACTTGCTGATCTTTGTCATCTCCGGCTCTAAGACCACTGGAAGAATCGCTGGAGCTCGCTTCGCCAAATTGAACCTCAGAGCGATGCAGTAGGTGACGCATCTGGTCCCGGGGTGATGCGCAAACACAAACAGCTTAGAGAGGCATGTTCTGATCATTTTCAGGTGAAGGTTCACCAGGTTGCATGCTACGATACGACACTAATAGTTGAGTCCTACATGGCCCTAAGGTGGCTGAGAGGCAGGCTGAGCCACACAATCATCGTCGACTCGCCCTTCTTCGATCTTTTCAATATATCTCCTACAGAGTTCAAAACATACAAAGGTCATCACCTACAATGGCCTGCGAAGGGTCCCACCTTGTGACAAAAATCAGGGCAACCGCAGAGCGGCGCATGCCATCGATCATGGCCTTGCTTGCCCGGGCTTCCAAATATCATTGGCAAAAAACAAATAGATACAAATAGACAAATAAAACGGGAGAATACAGTAAGGATGGCAGCCAGGACAGGAGTCAGGACAGGGCGGGGCAGGAATAAGTGACTAGTCTATCTATTCTAATTCTATATTTACCTGAGAAGGGGGGACGAAAGCCAGCCTCCATAAGAAGACATCAATAAGGTCATGGGATAAGAATCAGTTCTAACTTGTAAGTTTCAGAGCTTGCAGCACAGGCAGACAGAGTTTCGAGTGGGGGTGTGCCTCATCAGTGCTGCTGTAGCGATGTGCCTGTGCAACGACTGCAACACATGGGCATTCGGCCCAAAACGGTGATGCAACGCATATTTGTAACAAGAGCAAGCGTCTTATATAGATGTTTTAGTTGCAAGAGGTCGTCCAGGAAAATTCCGTGCAATTCAATTCTGTAATCGAGAAATATCCAGAAGCCCAGGCTGCCTCTCTGTCCTGAAGGAAGACCTGAATCCCGTGCTTCTCCAAAGTGGCAGCCTTTGGACCATCGCACAATTGCACGCGCCGCGGTCAGTGAATCCCTGGCCGCTCCTCCGCCGCGCAAAACTGAGGTCCCTGCGATCTGCATCACTCTTTGGTGATTGTCCCTGCCTTGGGTATCCTTCAAAGTAAAAAAGAAACAAGTTGCTGGGCTCTTTCGGAAGCTTTCCCGGCATCAATGACCTCGCAATGACCCGACTAAAGCAAGGGGTCATATAGACCGAATAAGGTGCGTTGCAGGTCAAATGGCAACCACTGCAGCGGGCCCGCTGGACCCATGGACCGTCCTTCCCCCAGTTGTGCGAGATGAAGCAATCGTAGGATGGACCTTCGCCACCTGCGAAGCCGTGTAGGACATGGTGTAGACCAGCCGTGAAGACCAAAAGAAAACAAAAATATGTATAATTTTGTGTCCTAATACATCCAAAAGTTTCTGAGAGATTGATCTTCTGAGGCATCTGTCTTTCGTCTTGTCCGAACTTACACACGTTTCAAGCTTGCCTTCCTCATCTTGCGGGCAATTTTCATGCAAGGACAGCCTCAAGGCGAGGAATCCAACGATGAAAAGTTCCATCAACATCGCTGGGGCCACCGCGGCCCACTGCTAGCAGGGCCAACCAATGGCCTGGCGTACCCCAAAACGGTCGCGCGCTTGCCGCGCGCCAAGCCACGAGCCACGCGGGAAAGCGATGGAAAGCGCTTGGCCTGGAAACTTCAAGGTGCGGATTCAGCAGCCAAGCGAGTCGATCTACCTCGGTGGAGTGTCGCGCAACCCGCAGCACCTCTCTTCGCTGCGTTTTGGTTTTCTTTGTTCGGCTTCTTCGCCCTCAGGGACAGGGCTGCATCCTCCCAGGCAGGATTGGGCTCCTCGTGAGACAAGGACTTGGAGTAGAGACAGGCCATTGACTGTTGGTGAGACCGGCGAAAAGCTGGCCGGACGTCTCCGGCTCCGCGTTTTACAAGTTCTAAAGAAGCGCAAGGAGCAAGGATCCGTGGTGACAGGTCAATCGAATGTGCCTCCATGGAAAGGTTCATCACGGCACGGCCGGAAAAGCGAGCGAACACTTGGTTCCAGCCTGAGGCTGATCAGAACTTGTATGCGATGCATAGACATACAAAATCATACAAACACGTTTAATCCCATCTAGTTTCTACACGTTCTTGTGCTTTGTCATCCACCACAGGTTCTTCCTGGCACGGCGCGTTTAGGCTAGCTAAGTCCTTAATCCCTCCACGGAAATCCGTCTCTGGGGCGCAGACCCCATGCTCCTGGATTCACCAGCTCCGGCTCCAGCGCCACCACAACCGCATTGGGCAAGCCTAAAAATCATCGTTTGCAATAAATTACCAAACGTTTTGCTGTGTTGTTCTTATTTCAAGTCTTGAAGCAACCCTGTTGCAAACAGTTTTGTTTAGCATAGACAGGCTGGACTTAGCAAGACATGTAAGACTGAGGACAAAGCACTTTGCCAAGGTGAATGCGGCCACACAACCTGTCTCTCGCACACGCTTTCCCACGACATTGAAGAAAGGAGTCGATGCCAAATGCGCTGAAAGTTAAGAGACGGCACCATTTCCAAGCCAGTCACGATGAGTTGTCCATCAGCTCCAAGGAGGGCCATGTGCAAAATGCCACTGTTCCAAAGGCATTTCACATCAGACCACTGCCCCGACGCTTTGGGAAAGCATCAAACCTAACCCTAGGGAGCAACTCTTGCAGCCCTGCGGCAAAGTAGCTGACCAAGAAACAAACGAAGCAAAAAGAACTGCTCAGCTCGTTTGCTGGTCATGCCTTGACATGAGCTCACCTACCACTTGTCTGCATCGAACGCTGGCTGCAAGCCCGAGCTCCTTCTCAGAGCCCGCGGCTCTGCATGTAAGCGCGGCTCAATGGGAATCGGTCGGAAATGAAGGGCCGCACCAACGAGGTTACATCCAATCCTTGTCGCTCGCGAGAAGGCCTCATCTTTGTCAGATAGAGCAAAGCTTCATCTGCCATTCGGAGCAGCAACTCGCCATCAGCACTCTCTGGAGCGATACCCTGCTGAGGCATCCAATCATTTGCCGTGAGCACATGTTCTACAATGCATCGAACCATGCTGGAAGCATATGCACGCCACTTGCCATCCATGGCTTCTTCAACGGTCTGGCTGTGGATGAGCCTCCCTCGATTGAGGAGTTTACGCTCCAAGGTGGCAAAGGCAGCTAGGAGTGGGTTGTGAGCAGTGAAATCTTCTAGCAACTTCTTTCGAAGATCGTCCTGGTCCCGTCCCTCCTTGCCTAAGCGAAAAGCCACTCGCTTCATCAGGAAGATATGCCCTAAGATGTGGACGAGGTGACGGTCTTCTGCAGGAAAGCACCTCGCAAACAACAAATTATGAACAAACAAACCCTTCGTTCCGGATTACATCCCCGAACATCTTGGGTATCATTGCAAGGAGGTCACCACTCTCAAGGCAACAGTTGCTCTGGCGGGGAGCCAGGGACAGACCTTCACAGACTGTCATTTTTCAATGTGGTTTGTTGATGTTTGTTGCTCTTGCGCGTCAAACACCTTCTTGTTACTAGTAGCTTCTTGCTCGTAGCGATGCCAGGAGCCCCTAGTAGCTTCTGGTCTTTGCTATTTGGGCTGCCGCTCCGCCCGTGCTCCGCCCCAAATCCGTCGTTGGAGGTCGCTCGGAGTGTCGGGTCGCACGGGTCGCTCGGAGTCTCCGGCAAGTTGGCGCACAAGGCGATCGGGCTCCGATTTCGGGTCATCTGATGTCTCGGGAAGAGATGCGCACTATTAGTGAGTTTGGGAAAGTAGTGTTTGTCGATCTGCAAATTGCACTTTTATTCCACTGTGTTCAACCTGCCATAAACCCGCAACATATTCATTAGGAGCGGCCAACCAGATTGCATGCACGGCCAAGAAACTGGTGGGTGCGGAAAAGGGAAGTTGACTGGTGGGTGCGAACACTATGAGCGTCGGTAATTAAACCGATTCAACTCTCACAGTAAGTGAATACGTAAGTGAATACTTCGTAGCAAAACAAGAACTGCTTGCGCTACTGCAGACCAGCTGCTGCATAGCACCAGGCGGCATATCGAAAGCAGCCAGCCCGTTCTGCCCACATGTCTCCTGTAGAGCTTCAACAAGATCGTGGACTGCCTCCGCAAAACCTTTGGATGCCTCGATCATGTCAGCCTCTTCGCGGTTCCACTGTGGCAAGATGCCCAGCGATGTCCACTCTGCAGTGCCAGAGCGCAAAACAACTGCAGCCGATTGCACTAGGCAGGTCGTAAGCCAAGGTGAAGCTGTGCATTTCATGAATCTAATGCTACAACATTTCAACAGGCTTTGCAGAAACCGGGCTGCCTCATCCTGCTCCCCTATGCCAAGAATTTGCAAGTTAAGAAGAAGGATTGATGCACCCTCCAGTTGTTCTTCTGCAAAAATCTCCACTAGATCTGACAAGGTCACGCTTGCCGGGAGAATTTTGGGATCTCGAACACCAGACCTTTCAATGACCAGCAAGCTTTCGATTACATTATCAATGTCCTGCACACTCATATTTGGCTTGCCGAAGTCGGCGGCAATGACATTGAAGGTGCGCATGTAATTAGCAGCAGCCCCCTTGCCCTGGAGCTTTGCAAGCTTGTCCTCCACAATTTCAACCACGTTCATGCCTTTCTTGTCTCTCAAGGCCTTTGCCTTTTCCATCAGCCCATGCTGCTTTGCCCAGGCCCACAAAAGGGCCAGCAAATCAGCATGGCCTCGATATGCGGCGATACTGAAAGCTGAGTTGTGCCAAGCACGCTCTTGCCAAAACGGATCTGCCAACTGCAACCAGGCTTGCTCCGGAGGTGCTGTTTCAGGGGTGTACCCTTCCAGCAGGAAGTGAACGCAGTGCACAAAGTTCCGCTCACAACAATGGTGGAGGATACACTGTCCCTGGAGGAGCTTGACTGTGGACAGCGTGTGCATAAACTTGGGATTATCAGGTGAGCCAGTTTCAAACCAGCATTTAAGGATTGTTTTGAGATCTTCGTCTTGCAGGGCTGCACGAATGATCTCGGGATCGTCCTCATCCTCAAGGAATTCGAACTTGTCTTGCATCACAGAGAAGAACAAATCCAAGTTGCTCGCAAAATAGCTGGCACAAATGATCGGGGAGCCCCCATGCCTTCGAGTGAGCTCGCAAATGACTATATGCCACACAGCTTCAGGGTGATTCTGCTCATCAGTATGATGTTCAGGATCTGATTCGAGAACTTCCCTCCACAACACTTGCCTCATGACCATCCATCTGAACGGCTTTGACTTGGATCCAGCGCCAGTAGTATAATGGGTGAGAAGTCGGCATCCACTTTGAAGGGTCTTGGCCACACAGCGCTCATTGATCACTTTGGCGGCCGGGTGTCCAAACAAGTGAACCACCGGGTCATTTAGATAAGTGGTTCCGCTCTGAAGGGATCTGGCAACGGAAGCTGCATCCATTCTGCCGGAGTCAGGCTTCAACCAGGTTTGTGGTGTGGTGAGCCAGAATGGCTTCTGTGGACAGTCTGTGGGCTCAAGAGCAGAGCCAATTGTCTTGGGAACACCTAGCTACGGCAAACTCACAGCGCCAATGCACCGCATCGGAACCAAACAAGCTGGCAGCACTATCACCAAAGAGTCCTGTCTCCACTCGATCGATGAACCTTGCATTGATCTCATCCGAAGCGCCAAGAAGTCTCTCGCAACGTCTCAAAGAAGTCTCTTTCTGACCGAGCCCCTGGCTGCCGGGTGAGGAGAATCACAGCGCAGTTGCTGTTTTGTGCTGCCTCAAGCAAAGAATTGCATCATACTCTTCAGAAAGAATAGCATGCCCTTTACATTACATGAGGGCTACTGGGCAAAGTGTAGCACGCTCTGGTTTCTTCACAAAGCAGCTGGGCTAAACCAAGAATCAAAGACATGTTGACCCACATGGGGAGGGAGGGTGAGATTCATATTGTGCACAAGGTGAAGCTAGGAATTCATGTGTTGCTGAGGATAGGAAGGCAAGAATTGTGCCATTCAAGAAAAAGCATTCGGTTGCGCAAACCTGTATGCGGACCTGTGTCCGTTTTCTGAATAACTCTACACATCTCAAAATCAAACACCCAAAGACAGAATGCGTGTGGCTCTTCAGCCACTACTTGCCCAGATATGACTGCATGAAAGAAGGACCTGTAAGACTGAAAAGCTGGTTTCTGGAAATCTAATGCTTCACAAGGAAGGAACTGCAAAAAGAAAGTTGTGGCACAGAAAACGCTCTTTGCGCTTTCAAAGCGCCTGACTGGCGACGATCGGTGCATTCCGGAGATGATCGTCGCCCAAGCGCCGCTCGCCTGTGCCATGAAGTGGGCCTCATCGCTGCTGGACATGTGCTGCATCACTGCGCCCACCTCAGTAAGCCAAAGGAAGAAAGCTAGCTGAAGGCTATTCTCCTAGCACCCTAGCCACCGTGTTTGAAACGGCCTCAGCCCATGAGCCTGAAGGCTGCTGAAGGCTGAAGGCACACAAGCTTGCGCTCATTTACCCCAAAAGAGACATTAAGCAATAGGACCTCAGCCTTTGCTGGAGGCTGCACACGGTGCTTGAGTTGAAAAACTGATTGCACAGGTTCCCGGCAAGAAATGATTGCTGGCAAACCCGCAAGCCTCGTGCCTAGCATTTGACATGCTTGCTGTCTATTGCGGCAAGACTCTTTGCAGCCCAGTGATTCAGTGCGTTTCTCAAAAGGGACGGAAACTGTGATTCGTGCCTTTCGGTTTTCTTTTCGGCACGGTCCTAGCTGCGCCTAGCCTGGAGCGCTCGACCAATTGCAGCTGCCTAGTGCGCTCGACCAAGAAAGTACTGCGGTTGTCTAGGTAGTGAAGTGTAGCATCATGTCGGAGATATACCAGTGACAGAAAGTTCAGTGTCAGCTTTCCAGATCATCATCTATGTGACATGGACATTCAAAACAAAATATGTTGTTATTGTAATCATAATTTGTAGCTCGTATTGAAAAATGCCAAGAACATTTGAAATAGTTTGACGTAAATAAATATATATATATATACAGTACATGGACTTTCAGTTCTTAGGGCTCCGTACACGAGTGGCACTGGGCTTGGCCTCGGAGCCACGGCCCATGGCATAGACCACAAAGGCATCAAAGCGGCTGCCAAAAGCCTCGAAACGGAGAATCGCTACTAGGGGCTCCTGGCATCGCTACTAGGAGCAAGGACGCTACTAGGGGCTCCTGGCCTTACTACTAGGAGCAAGGACGCTACTAGGAGCACTAGTAGGAGCAAGGACGCTACTAGGAGTCGAGTCATACCGAGCAGGGCACTTCCTTTCCCCTCGAAAAAAGGATGGAACGGTTTCGACGTTCTTCTGCATCCTTACGCAGCTTGGAGCTTTACACCGAAAAAACGCCTACTCCTAGCTACCTTCCTGCCCGGCTGCCTCCTACTCCGGCCTCCCCACACCAGCTTTGCTTTTTGGTGCATGTCTTGTCAAAACACCGCTCCCTCGCCTGACTGTCGCCTTCAAAACTCTGCCTGAAGGACCCGTCAGAGTCAGGCGTCACAAGTTCCCACGAAACACAAGTGCCGACTCGACCGATAGACGCGAGAGACCAACACCGAACACTCCGGCATAGACTGAGAGCATTGTCCGCTTCCAGCTATGGGGACAATGATTCTTATGAAGACACACAAAAGTCTGTGAATTCTTGCAAATCATTTACCAAATGTTCCGGAGAATCCAGAAAGTTCCTGGAATTCCGCTCGCCTCGCGGTCTCCCGTAGATTGCCCTTGGACTCCAGGAGTTGAGAAATGCGTTTGCAAATCAGCTGAGGTCAATGAGATCTGATTTCGCCCGTCTCGCTGAGACGAAGGCGTCCGGCTGAGACGAGGCAGTCGTCCTCAGCTCCAAAAAGAAACTCTGAGCACTGAAGAAACCCAATTTTTTTTATCAGAGCATATACAAACTGTGTGTGTTATCCTTTTTTTATCAGTGTATCTGTACATTGTAATTATGTTTTACTAACGGGTGTTCTCTAAGGCTCCTGCGGCTCCCGCGACCTGGATGCCTCGCCTGGGCGCGCCGATTTGGGCGCCAAGGCCGAGCGCCGGCGGTGTGGATCGGAAGGCGCCATCGCGCCGCTGGTGGAGAAGAAAACAAAACTGAAAACCTGGACTCAACCTACCAACAATGGTGGCCCCACACTGCGCAGTGTCCAAATAGTGTGCTCCGGAAAGATATGAGGAAACAGCACCGTGCAGCACCGGGGTGAGTCCCCAACCCACAGCTCCTGGAAGCTTCACGGTTGGCTGCTCTGCAGCTCCTCCAACGCACCGCACAGTTCAAAATGCTCAAATCAGCAAAGCGTAGCAAAGCTAGGAGTGTCCACAATGCGATTGAAATCCAATGAAATCCATGTCAGTCAACAAGCTCTTAGAATCTTGAGAATGAACCAAAGAAATGCAGCGGATCAAAGGGAAGAGTGTGCATCTTCACCTCCATGCTGCACGTCTTGCGCATGCGTCTTTGGCCTAATGTCTCAGATCGCACTGCCGCCGGCTTCATCATATTGTAAGGAGCTAGGGCTCAAACTCTGGAGAACCTGGGCAACCAGTCTGACTTCGTCACTGAAAAAAGAAGCTGGAGTTGCTTGCGGTACAAATACAACGAGCTTCTGTGTGAGTCTTGCATTCCTGACTGGAAGAATGGAAAAACTGATTCCTCACAATATCCCAGTTGAGAGAATGTGACCTCTTGAACCTGTCACTTCCAACATGCGCCACCCTCCGCCATGCAAACAAAACCCTCGCCTGCAGCGCCCTCGGGAGCTTCCCGAGCTTCGGTGTCGCCTTGGCCGGGCATGGTCTTGACCACCTGGGCGCGGTGTCAGTCGCTCCACTGACAGTCCTCCGGTTGCAGCTGGACTTTCAGCGAATCATCGAACCAAGTGGTGCGGTTGCAGTTAGTGCGTCTCTGAGTGCTCCAGCCCAGCCCACAGTTGGCAGCTCTTGCCTTGCCAATAAACCAAAACTGGGAAAGTGTCAAAATGCTCTTCAAAGTTTAGCACTTCCCACTTCCCACTGCTCTGGGCTCGGGGCACAATCCAACTGCTTTGCTTGTGAGAGGGCCTCTGGAGGCAAACTCCATGTTGGACGAGAGCTGTAATCAGAGCACATCCATAAAATCAAGCTTCCACCTGATTCCTTTGAGATGTGTTGGTGATGTTTGTAATGTCTTGACAACTGTTCTGCAATGGTTCAACCCCACAATTGAGTATGTTGAAAAGAAAGAACAGAAAACGCCATCTAAGCCCAGCACGATGCCCCTTGAGGCACTCCCTCCATGTCACTTCGGCTACTCAACGTCGGCCCATGGGGACCGGTGCGTCTGTCCGCTGCTCGGCGTTTTGTCGGCTCTGTCTGTGAGGGTTCATGGAAGTCATAGCTTTTTGAGCTGGTCCAAAGATTGGTCCGGTTGGTTTGAGAGATAAATATCACATCTCAGGTTCGTGTAAGAGGACAGTGATGTTCCAATCTAAGAGGTGCATTTGATCAACTCATGTCAAACGAACATGAAGCCTGCCCTTCAGAGCCAAGGTGTTGGAACACCATGGGAGTGCCAAAAAAGCACAGAACACGGAAGAAAACAAGCGCTCGTTTCAGCTTTCATGGGCCCCCTTCGAAGACCAAGTCCACCTGCCTGGTTCAAGAATTGCATCAGCCTGGCACCAGGCTGCTTGGCTGCAGCAGCACAAGGGCAGCAAGAATAACACTCACATTGATCCAAGGCATCCACTGCTGGCCAGTAATGCCAGCTGGAAGATTGCCCAGGTACAGCTCTCGAGCAGCCTGACTGCCCCCAAAGCTACACGAGGACGAGTCCCAAACCTCCCAGTCATGGAGTGTTGAGGAGTCCCAAAACCTCAGAACCGGGGATGTCAAACCATTCTGGAGACAGGGCGGTTCTTCATCAATGGTCTACATTGACATTAATTTGTTTCAACTTTCAGAAATCAATTGACTGGTGGCGGTCACACAGTGTGCTTCCACGGCACTAGACCAAAGCCACTGTTAACCCCAATGCCTGGCCTACTTGCCAAACCTGTGCCAAACTGCCGAAAGCTCATGAGGGAGGGTTCGATTCGGGGCAAGGACGAGCGTAGCTGCGGCGCTCATCCAAGCTCAGGCCTTCGTATCCGCGGCGAGCGCCATGGGGTTGGTGGTGTTGGAGACACCTGGCGCGAAGCAGCAACAAAATCAAACAAAATCAAAGAAGCGTCTGCACCTATCGGATCCCGTGTCCAACCATGTGGCCGAGCACCTGCCAGAGCTAGACCTCCTTGGAGAGCAGCAGCTACACCGCCTGATGACACCATCAGGTCAAAAATCTAATCAAAAGCGTTCTATATGTGCCAGGGAGTCTAGCATCCCAGCGAATCAAAAGTGAACATCATGGACGTGCCAGTGATCAAGAGGGTTGGCATTGAGAACCTACAAAGCTTAAACCACCGAGCATTTTTCCTTTGCACTCACGGGTATGAGGGACAAAACTAACTATAAACGGTAAAACTAAAGTAAAGCAAAAATGGAGCTGGGGACAAGTCAGCTGAAATGAGACTTACAAAGCCAAAAGGCCTTCCCGTCCGAATGACACTGACTAAGAACTGGAGCATGACCGCTGAAGAGAGCTTTCCAAAGTCGGCACGTTGGAAGCTGAAAGCAACAGGATCGCACAGTGTCTATAGCAGCCATTGCCTTCGACAAGGCGTGCTATGGGCTCAAAAAACTATACAGGGTCCACTAATTGCACATCAAGAGTTCCAGAAATGTACAAATTTCTAATCATGGTCTGTTGACTGCACTTTCTGCAGCAACCAGCTTTAAACAATCTGAGTTCTCCGAGCGAAAAATGAGATCTTCATGGCAGACAAGGCCACGCAAACGATCTGCGTGAGCCTGGCAGTTGATCACTGTCTTTAGACTTCAAACACACCCGGAAGAATCCAAGAGTCCAACCATGCGCAAGGTGGGAAAAGAGGCTTTATCAAAATCTCATGTGTCTCTAAGTACACCGCATGAAATAAGAAAGCAATGAATTCTTCCGTCTTCCGCCCCCATGGGCCGATGTCTTCCGTTCGTCCACATGAGTCCGCACGCCTTACACTGTGAAGGTGTCCAGCAGCCGAAAAACCCGCGTATGGCCCTTGGTGAAAGCCCAATCCTGGTGCTCTTGTCTCCAGCAATCATCCCTTATCTTCTTTTTTTTGTGTTTGGTGCGGTTCTTCTTGTTCTTCTTCTTGTTCTTCTTCTTGTTCTTCTTCCTTTTCTTTGTCCTTTTCTTCTTCCAGCAAATGCGCAAGTTCACAAGCGTTTTCGTCCAACCTATCCGTCTATCCGTCCGATTCTGAGCAACACAACGCGGGTCCTTTGGCTTGACGCCAATGTCGTTTCCCAGGGGTTCAGCTCCATACTGCCACAACAACCTGATAAGTTCCTGGCAGCAGGGAACGCTCTTGTCAGGAGGAATGGTTCTTTGCTGCTGTTCCTTTTGAGCGCTAAAACATGGTGGTCAGCTCCAGTTTGCTGAAGTCACAGAAGTCACAGCTCCAGTGTTGAGGGGAGGTCCACACCCGGGTGATGTTTTGTATTCGGAGCCAACCAAGAAAATAAATTGAACGGACCCAAGCGCCCAAGCCATCGATGTTTTGTCCAAATTGTTCATGTGACCCACTGAACCACGTTTTGTCCAATCCTCATCTCCCACGAAGGCGGCAAAGTCCAACGGAGTTCCTCCTGATAGACAGGCTAATTGCTTGGTCGCCTGTGAAATGGAGTCCAGCCCCATGATCGAAGCCTCACGCGGGGCTGAATGACGCAGGGCTTCATAACAGCTGAAGTCATTGGATGCTCTAGTTGATGCTTGCAATGCCTAAAGGCAGCAGTTCCAGAAAGCACGATTACGTGGTATGATTATTTTTAAAATAGTCAGACCTTCCCGCGAATCCATATCTCATAATAGTCAGACTCTCGTTAACTGTGTTTTGAGTCCGAGGGGCATAGGTGCAGCTGGCAATAGATTTCCAACGAAAGTTCCCCGAGGGAGCGCAACGTGAATTCACATCTGCTTGTGCTCAAGCAAAAGCCGAGCTGTCTCTGCAGCATATCTGTTGCCGCGAGAAACCATGATCGCGCCGTGCAAAGGGCCTATGTAGGCGGGCGGGCTGAGACCAACGCAAAACCTACAGTCACTTCACGATAACCGCCGGACCCGCCAAAAGGTTCTCTACCTTCCCGCCGTTCTCAAGGATGAAAAGGAACGGCAAGGACCATTTCATCAGGCCCCCTTAAAGGATCTTGAAGGGGACCTTCCTTCTTTTGAAGGGGACCTTCCTTCTTTTTCCTCATCTCTATTCCTATCTCATCTATCTCCTGTTCTTGTGACTTGTTTTCTCCCAGATCTCCCCACTTTCTGTGGCATCACCCTTCGTCCGAGGCGCCGTGTCCCACGCCACACGGCTGCGGATTCGGGTCGCAAGCAGCATCCAGCATGGCCCTCACAGTGTCTGGCGAAGCCATTGCTGCGACCCCTGCCAAGGGTGTCAGTCCTCCAAGTGGAAACAAGAAAAAAGCATCAACCTTTGAAAAAGGATCATGACTCCATGACTCAGAACTTGAAAACCTCCATGCGAACAGCTTTTTTTGCAAAAAATACATAGAGCCAGCTCCTAAAGGTTCGCAGTGTGAGTGCAAATCCGCTTTTGCTTCGATGAAGACTTGCACCTGTTCAGGTGTTCGGGCCAGAAACCTCAGAAGATGCGGATCAACGAGGCGATGTTCAGCGGATTAAAAGGGTGCCTTCCACATGCCAACTGGACATGAAAAAATATTGGCCTCCAACCTAATAGCGATGGCCTCCAACCTACTAGCCATGGCCCCCAACCTACTAGCCATGGCCTCCACTAGCGGCCTCCAAGGAACGCGCAGTTCATACCATTATTGGATCTTGCGTTCACATCAGCCCGCAGCTCGATCAGTGCACTTAAGACTTCTGGCCCCTGAGCAGGGAAGCGCTCATCTACGGGGGTTTGGACTGACTACAGGACCTGCCGACGCGCTCCTGCCGTGACTTTGCGGCTGCCATGAGGAGGGTCTGGCTGTCGTAGTACCCAAGTGCACCTCGAATTGGGCACTCAAAACCCACTCGGAAACTGCTTGGTTTTTACCGCATGGATTGACGAATCGACCAATGGCACTGTGGCACCCGCGGTTCTTTTGCCAAGTGTCTGAGGCCTTTCATGCGCATGTTCAAATCCGCTTTGTGGTAAGCGAGAACACGGAGCATTCCCACATCGGATGCAAACATTGCACAGAGAGTCGCATTCCTGCAAAAGAGTCGTATGCAGCAAAAATCCTCTTGCCACCATCAATGACAACTGATCTGGCTGTGGGTCATGGCACCGGACCTCCTAATCCCTAGTAGGTGCACCTCCCCAGCAACCAGGGTGTCCCAGTTTCGACCCACAGCCAATGGCCTGCATTTCCTACGGCCAGGGCACATGCTAGAAGTGTCGTTCACCGCTGCTTCCAAGTTCGGGAAGCGAAAGTGATCGAGAAACTCCTGACGAACATCAGGCGTTGAGCCGCCGCCAGGTGTTGCGCAGGATGGTACTTACACACTTGGGAGGCTATGGAGGCTATACATGCTTGGACTTCGTAGAACTTCAGCTTTGAAAAGAAAAAAACACTTGAAAAAGCTCCATCTATACCAAGGAATTCGGTCGAATCCGACGCAAAAAGAAGAAACACCGCGCCTCCAAGGTACGTTCCCTCTTCGCTTGCCCAAGGAGCTTTCCACGATGAGCCAAATAAAAGCGGTAAAGATCCACGGGACCATCCTGCCGGGTGCTTTCACGCGTTTCATCCGGAGGTGAAACACCAAGCTCTGGAATAAAAGGGGAAAAAGAAACGTCCAAAGCAGAAAGTAAGGGCTGAAGCTCCCAAAAAAAAACTTCCTATGTAAAGGATCTCGAATGATCTCGATAGCCAGATTGGAACAATCAGAACTGGGTATCTCGACCGCTCACTCTCTCTCTCTCTCTCTCAGAATTCCTTGCCCAAGTGCTTGATCTTGTGCTCGACAGCTCTGTCTCCCAGTTGGACCACGACTTCGCGGTCTTCTTCGACGGTGAATTCACCGTCGGAAATCAAATTGTATTGCCAATCCATTGGATACATGAACTTCACCTCCTCAGGTGCACAACTACTGGGCAACTCGACCTACTCAACTTGTAAGAACCTTTCGAAACGTGCCAAAACATGTGCAACGGGGAAGGATGCAAAGAGCTCCTTGGAAGAGTGAACCACTATGACACTGGTGTCTTTCTTCGTGGAGAGCAAGTGACACCACAATTCAGCTCGACACCAACCTGCACACGAGGTCGCGAGGTCTCTTCGATATCTTCAATCCTCTTTCCAACACCGAGCAAAAAATCCAGGCAGGCACCCATGCCTCGAGTTATCCAGGTGGTATAATCGAAGCCATGTGCAGAGCTCTGTTCTTTGATTGCGGGAACTAAAGCAACGAAGGCAGAGGACACCTCCACATAAGCTGGAATGGATTGAATGGCTTTTGAGGCTTCGGTTCGGGTCTCTTCCTCATCAATGCCTCGAGCACGAGCTCGAACCTGATGCGTCCATTTTGCAAAGAAAAACATGAGAATTTGATGAGAATTCTTGACAGACTGTTGGTGGCGGACACACTTCCGAAGTATCTTAGTGCCTGGGTTCGAATATCAAGATTCCAAGAATTTTCAGCAACTTTGCCTGAGGAATGGAGAACCAGTCCATCCAAATATAGGCATTGAGAAGCTCCTGCTCATCAAAGCTCTGCTGTGACTTGTAGGTTTGAGAGATGAGATCCGTCTCAACAGTCAGGGTACCCTGCATCCTCAGGAACGACGGAAAAAAGCAGAACCGGAAGGGCTGCTCCTAAAGAAATCCCAAGAGATGCAAAGACACTCAACTAGTGCAAAGACGGTCATCTGAGTCTGAGTCATCTGAAACGACTCAACTATTAAACAAAAGAAACAGTGTTCACATTACAGCTTCTAGCCATCTTAAGCCCTCTTCTTTCTTTGGCCATCTTCAGTGCCGCCCAAGTGCAATCCCTCGAGGACTTCGCGAAGAACCAATGATTGACTTCCACAAGGGTC